CAATATAGGAAATGTCATGATGGTCAGTTTAATTGCCAGTATTTGACTGAACTCAGCTACAGGTAATGTTTACTCTGGCAGGAATTACCATAGCAAAACCAATTAGTATGCTTTTTATCATGTGAGCAGTTTATAATATTAAATGTGTCTGTGACAGTAGTCCAATGTGCCAACCAACCCCACTCACATGAGGACACAACCCTGTGTTTACTTCATGTTAGATTCCTAGCATTATCAGGTTGCATTTTTGTGAAAGTTGTTCTGACCTAGAAATTAATACTGTGCCAACCAACGAGCTGACCAATCCCATTCTCCCCTACATATTTAGATTTTTTTTTTATTATTCAATGGGTTTAGTAGTTTCCACCTGGGACACCTGGGAATATGCAATGTGGGAAGCCCCCTTTGATTTTCTACAAACATAATACTATGCAGACAGTGGTAAAAAGTAACCAATGCTTTACATTTCCTATTAGGCTCTGCTTTGTGCTTATTACTGGGTTGGTTCAGTCAACTGTTTGGATATAAACAGTTATTTAAAACTTTGATAAGTTCCAATAAGTATATGCGTGAGGTTTCTTGAAATTCTTGCTGCTGCCTAAAGTTGATTACTGAAAAATGTATTATTAATTATAATGGGTGTTGAAAATATTAGCTAAACTCCATCCATAAATCCATAATTCTGGTACACTGTCAGAGTTAATTCTGCTGATGGCTGTTATATGCAATGTTTTATCTCTGTATATGTTATATTTTTTAATTTACAGCACATATTGAGATGCCCATAATTCTATTCATTTGTATAAATGCTGTGAACCCAGTCTCAAGAACAATCACAACACACAAATGACAAAAGCAACAACAAATTCATGCACACCAACAGATAAGCCTGCGACTTTACCATTGTTTCAGAATGGAACGATGGCTGACAGAAGAAAACAGGATTTCTACGTTTCGCTGATTAGGTCATGCATGGTTTGTGCACTGTCAGATAAGGCTTACCATTTAAATAGAAAAATTAGTTTGTCACAGGCTCGTTCTCTCGTCTCTTGATCAATTGTTCAAGCTCTAACTTCATCGCAAAACAAAAATCTCAAAATATCTGTTTAAATCATTCACTCTTAATGGTGAATTTAATGTGTTCAGAAATGAACTGCTTGCCTGCCAAGTGAGTGCATGACAAATTCAGGTATTTTATATGCTACGTTTTACCTCTGCCCTCTTCATCAGCCCTTTACCTCCAGCACTTTAATACTTCACAGATTCTGTCATAAACCAACACTCACACCCACACACGCTTCCATCAAAGAGCTCTGAACTGAATGTGCTGTCAAATCAATGGCAGGCGTATTAGTGAGCTGTCACTGAGGACTGAACAGAGAATGATAGCATTTAGTTACTAAAAGCAGAATATTACACACACAAACACACACACACACACATTCATCACAGATACATCACAGATACAAAAACATACAAGAAAATGACCGCATTTCCACCGAGACCATCTACTCTACACAAGCCTGAGATCCAGTGAAACACGAATTTACGCACACAGGCAGCTATCATGACAAAAATATGAAATTATGGTTCTTGACATACATTTGGGAATTTATCATGGAGATTGGGATTCTGCGCTTTGAATTTGAAATATTTTCATGCTCCTGGCTCACGCAGAGGATCAGAGACACCAATGGAAATCTTTATGGATCTTTGCATTTTCAATTTTGCCAAAGCCTTTTAAACTACATCTTAACCTGGGGGAAGGGGGGCAGCACTCCATACAATCCAGTGCATGTGTAAAAATTAAATGAATGAATAGCTCTTGTACACAAATTACTAAATAAATGAAAGAAATGCAGAAGTAGCTGTCCTTAGTCCCCTCAATCTATAAACTTAAAAAGGAGGGTTATTCTTTACACAAACTTGACCAATGAATCTAAACAGTGACCAAGAACAAAGAACATTACAGGTGCTTGGTATCCAATCAGAGGCTCTGTGTGTTGGTTTGTCATCATGTTTTGGGATGCAGAACAGAATCGATAATGGATCCTAAGTGTTGCAACAGCAGTGCCTCCAAGAAAGAAACAAATAAAGAAAAGTGAGGAGGGGGTGGGCTTTAAGGACATCTGTGCACAGGAGCCTCATGAGATGACCCTGATTATATGGATTCTAGTAATAAAGGTGGCTACACTTTCCATCTACATGCATTTTGGCAATCGGATCACACTCAGACTGGGATCATTGTAAATGGAATGTGTTTTTTATATCCGCATATCATTATGTCAGTCCAAAAAGTCCTCTGTGGTGGTGCTGACCACTGCAGAAATCACAGCAGGTGCAATACAAAGCATTCCTCAGTGGTGATGCACAAGCCATGTTAAATAGTGTGCCTGTGTTAAATGATTTCTTTCAATATTTGACAGCGTATATTCTTGCTAGATCAGTTTTACCAGAGGTGTAATTTGATTGATTACCGATAAGGTCCATGATGTTAACCCAATATGAATCTAACATGTGCATAGTAGTCTGTTAAATAATTACTGCAGAGAATACTGTCTTCTATAATTCATCGAACTCGAAGCTGCTGCAGTAATAATAGTCCTGTTCGAATCAACATCGCAAAAATGTAATAAATTCTGGCGATAAACATCGCTACCTCTGTGTTTTTGGCAACCGGTAGTCAAGGCTAACAGCTAAAATGGAGCTCCTGGCACAGTTTCTTTGGGGAAATTACTCAGGTACCCATAACAGTCAGTCAGTTGAATCCATTACATACTACATTACCTGACCTCCTCTGGTAAAACTAATACAGTACGAATAGAGTGTAATACACTGGTAGTATCAAGTGAGAAACCATGCTTACTGTAGTTTATTGGAAGTAAAATGGAAATGCGTGTTGTGATTTTCATCTGGCCAGACTGTAGATAACCAACTTCAAAATAAATGTCTTTTCCTTCAGGTAAACCTTAATTGAATGTACAACAATTAAAAAGTCAGTGTTATGAAACAGCAAGAATAAGTAAAAGTTAACGTTAAATGGTTGGAGAAATAAAATCCTTCCCCATGGTAAAGCTGTATAATACACACATCAGAGACATGCACTACAGGAGGCTTGTGGTGGGGAAATTGGTTCTGAGGCTCCAATTATATTTTAAATTACATTCAAATTAAGAATAATGGAAAGCCCCTTCCCCAGTTTGAAGACTATAGAGGGCCTGGGGGACAGAATTAAATAAACTTAGCTGTGGGACAACTCTAAATGAAGTAATGAAGAATCCCCAAAAGGTGTGTGCCATGTCTATATGCATACAAATCCATGTGTTTGTTCTCTTACCATTTCTAAATGATCGTTTTATTAGTGTACACACAAGGGACTTAACCAGTAACTCTATTAATTCCTCTGTACTCCTAATGAGCTCATAAGATGTTTAATTCCACATTTTTACAGAAGTAGAAGCAAAGAAATTAATCAAAACATGAGAAACTGAGTCAAACAAATCAAGTGGAGGGAAAATATTAATCAATTGTTCTCCACTTGCTCTCTCTCTCTTCAGCCTCTACTACCCGTAAACCTGTAATCTTGAGTACAAATGCATCTAAATCACACTACAATATCATAAAACATTGAACCGCCTGCCTGCCTCTCATAAATGCATAAATCCAGGGCTTTACGTGTGACTCAAAAGTATGAAAGCAAAGGAAAGAAAAATCTAAATGGATTTTTTAACCACACGTTTGCTACACATAACTGTCACTGTTACATGAAGTTATTGCGAGTGCAAAATGTGAACAGAGTTGTGAAATATGTGTATAAGCAGCACAAGTGCTGACTAGCGTCTGGTCCACATAGGGTACCTCCAGATAACTGCTGGATATCTTCAATAGAGCAGTTGTCTGTAATACACAAATAAACAGACTTCGGCTCAGATTAGACAGCAGCCTGCTTTGAAAAGATTCAAGATGCACACATTCAGAAATGTTTTTCTAAGTAAAAGCTTCAAAAGATTACAATCTCCTACCCCTAATATTTGGAATAAGTGCACCATATGCCATTTTGAATAAAAAAACAGTTTTATTTAAAACATTTCCAAATATACACAACATATCATTGTATTTCATATGCATAAATATTTCTGCAATATTGACACATAAATCAGAAGTAGGTTGTACCACAATGAAAGTTCAAGTGTATGTCATTCCATGTATTTAAGACAAAAATATCCACCCCAAAATTATTCCAGCTTTATCCCACGTTGAAGTATTTCATATGTGAAAACATCATGTAAATGCAAATCCTATACTTACTACATAAAGCACTGCCTAAAACACTGTTTTATGACATTCACAGAGCACTCAGAAAAGCACAAGCAAAACTGCAAGTTCATGAGAATGACTCAACAACTTCAGTTTAACAAGCAGCGCATCCAACATTTTAGATCAATTATTCATGCTTTTGTCTTAGCATATCTCTTTGACTTGAAAAACCACAGAAAGGGAGACTTAAGAGGAATCCATGCTAATGAAGTCCAGTTCTACTTAAGGGCCTGACATTTGCAGGGGTTGAAAGCAAAACAAATGTATTTAAAAAAAAAAAAGAAAAAAAAAGTAGGTAGGTAGGACCTCATAGCTCTTTTACTGCGCTGTACCTTTGCACATGATATGTGAGTGAGGTATTTTAGGTTTTAGAGCAGTGGTTTTCATACTGTGGGTTGCAGTGTGGGGACAAGTGAGTTGATTGTTTTTAGCTTTCCACAAGAGCACAAGTAAATGAGGCACGTTTTAGACCAGAAGTGATGAAGAATGTGGATCAGAACAAATAAACACATGTCCCATGAAACAGTAGTGAAATTTATTAAAAGGTAAGGTAAGAACTGAATGAATGGCATCTGAACACAGAACAAATAAGTGTTATGTTATTTAGGGAGGCACAGTGATATTGGTATTATATTGGTATTATATTGGTATATATATATATATATATATATATATATATATATATATATATATATATATTGGCATCAGACAGATGTTTAGATTTGAGGCGACTGAGCCACTACACTACAATGTCTTTTATTGTTATTGTAATTTTATTGGTTTAACTTGTTAAAAAGGGTTCTATATAGCACAGGAAAGGGTTCTTCTATTGTTACAAGCTTGACACTGTAAAAATAGAAGAACCTTTTTGGGTTCTATATAGCATCTTTCTCAAAAAGGTTCTTTATAGAACCATCTACAGCACATTCTTCATTAATATCAGTATATTGAGCAAAAGTGGACTGAAAGCTTTTTTGTCTTATTTCACTCCACAAAATATTTGGTGGGTCAAGACAAACACTAGACCAACATGTGTCATCCAGGTATGAAAACATTTGGGAATGTCAGTTTTTAAGCAACAGTGCAAAGGCAAGAAGAAAAGAATTCACAAATACAGAGGACAGAAGAAACAGACTTAAAAGCAAGTACCCACAGAACTGAGTACTTCACAGCACGGAGTACAGCAGTCTGCTGTCTTTTCTGCGAGGATGTGCTTTAAGTGGAACACCAGTAAAACTTGTGTAAACAGCAGAACAGGGGTCCAACACAGCAGCATACAAAGGAGGAAGACACTGGGATTGGCCGAGGCGCAGGCTAGTTCAGACAGAATACTGAGATGCGTGTATGATTAAAGTTAAATGTCCTTATGTTCAAGCCGTTCAAGCTCTCACTAAACTCTTAAAACGGTTAAAATAGAGAACCATCTCTCGAACATAGAAAAGCACTACATACATTTTATATCCACTACTGTGAATGAAAAGAAACATAGAGAACGCTCTGAATGGATTACACATAAAACATTAATACATGAATGCATCTCTGTATATGCACTGAGCTTTTCACTGTTTCCTCATAAAGCAAGTTCTCTTTTCTAATTGAAATTCAGGTCAGTTACAGTTTTGAGATCTTTGAGTACAAAAAAAAAGCTGCTGCTAGATCACATTTTGCGCAAACGCTATGGAGAACATGTGATTTGGATAAATTAAGAAAGAAATTTCATTCATTGGGTTTTATCAACAAAGAACAATGTGGATTTAAACATCCATATCTGAAAGTCCAGATAAGAATGAAAAAGTCTGCCAGGAGAACAAAATCTACATACATGCCTGTTATTATTTTATTACTATTGTGCAAATTCAATGTATTCTGCTGCATATTAAAGGGAACTAATGTCCCTTGAAATCACATCTTGGGGAAAATGATTTTCAGAAGTAGGTTACTGTATATTACTCAAAGCGGACTGGCTTGTCATTTTATTCAAATACATTTTGTTCTTTGGAGAAAAAGGCCAATTGTAGGCGATGACTAGAGGCTTTCCTCCAGTTCTATGAATATTATGCTACATATTCTATACTATATCTTTAAACTATATCTTTAGTTTAAAAACCCTGCTAGCATATTTTTAAGACGTTTAAATGTTCAACCTCTTATCAACTGGCCTGCCATAAGATAACATTTCAAAGCACCACACAGAGCAGACGGTTTCTCCACAAGAAAACCACTGCAATTAATCAACCATTAATCAACTGTTAAAGCACTACTTTTAAAACATCATTGATATCATAAAACTTGAAACATTAAAGTTACCCATCTTCTCTGTTTACAAAGCAGCAACATTAGTAAAAATTTGAATACAATTTAGAATTAATATAAAAAATCCAGAATGCACCAACAAAGTCATAATACATTTGACTATCATTTTTGATCTCAAAGATTATTTGGAATGTATCATTCTGGCAGTGAGACCATCATAAATACGCATTTGCATTCAGTATAACATGTAAGAATCACATCTGTATCAGAGAATTTGCTGATATAATGGATGTGTATGGAATGCATTTTGCCAGTATTTGCAGATACAGCTTCAGCGCAAGACTCTGATGTTTCAACCTAAAGCTCCACAATGACTCAGCTGAAGCTCGCTGTCCATGTGTTCTGGATATGTAACTGTGAGTCATTACTGAAGATTATGTCTTTTTCAGAACTCTCGGGTAATTTTAGAAGACGATTAAAACGCTACCTCATACATCAAAATTTCTAATAAGTGTTTTCGAGTTCACAAAGGACTCATTTCGTGGTTAACCGCTTCCCGATTACGATATTACAAAACACCAAAGGAGATCTCTTGCTTATCCTTCAAAACTAATACCAGCAAAAGCTTGGCACTCCCTGTATGGGTGTGAGGAACAGTTTCTTAAAGATGAGAAGATCTTTAGGAGTTATTTCATAAGATGCTGAACATAAAATACTTACTATTTTTAATTATTATCAATAAACAAGAACTGAAGATCTAAAGATCTACATCAGGAATTTTCAGATATCATTTTAAAGCATCAGAGTAAAATTCGCAGGTCAAAGACATGTTAAAATGTCAAGAGCCAGAACACATGAACACTACTAAGCACTGAGCAGCCATCAACAGGTTGATCCACTGTAGAGGTTTATACTGAAACACAGTAAAGCACTGTTTTAATGCACTCCCATGTCTTACTGTTCAAATTAAGGCCATCATAAATGTTTAAAGCAACCCTTACAGCCTGACCACATGCACACAATGTTCTGTCTAAGAGATTCAGTGGTGTTGATAGAGGCTGTAGGTGTAACAGGCATTTCAGAAAATGCCCAAAGGCTTTGAGATGATTCAACACTGATTAGAACCTAGAACAAGTTAAGATGCATTAGGCAATCAACTAATGATTATTCAAATGATTGTTGACCTCAAGCAGCAAGTGCACACCAAGTTACCAGTTTATTAGGCACCTAGGTAGTATCTACCTATACTTACTGGCCATTTTATCAGAAACACTTACCACGTAGGTGCATTTTATAGATATTTGTACACATAGTTCATGGCTTTAGTTAATCTTTTTCCATGCACAACTTAGGTTAGTTATCCTCTTCATCAGTGCTCAGTTTCTGACCACAGGACCACTGTCACCTGGATATTTCTGGTAGGCAGACTATTCTTAACTCAGCAGCAACACTGAGGTGCTTAGAAACCCCAGCAACATTGCTGTTCCTATTTCAGTCATGCCACATTACCAGCTATCACTGCTACCTGAGGTTGTTCCACCACCCAAACAATCTGGTCAGTGGTGGTCCTATGGTGGTACATTTCCATTGATGGACAGGGTGGTGGATAAATGGTGCAGCAAGAGATGTGCTACAATCAGTAACTGACAACAAAAAAGTGCAACTACATGGTAGGTATTTCTGATAAAATGGCAACTCAGTGTATCAGTTTGGCACAGATGACCAGCTGCACCTCATTATTCCAAAATCTTATTCCAAGAAGTAACATAAACTTCAGGAACACTAACAGAGAGGAATTTTGATTCAGCACACAGAATTTAGAGAGGTGATGGAAGTCAGTTTTTGAGGATCTGCTCCAGAACAGAGAGAAGGTTCTTCAAGCCGTACATGTAACCCTCATCTGGGCTATCACTGGGAAAGACATGGGCAAAATCAATCATCCTCACATCCACATCTTCCTCCTTCTCTCCAAATCCATCTCTCAACCTCCCTTTCCCCAACCCTGTGCTCCTACCGTCAACCACTCTCATGTTTTTTGTGTCTTCCTCGCTACTCACTCCGTTGCCATTAGCCTGCTCCAGGTGGTAATGTAGAGAGTGAGGCCAAATCCCATTCTTATGCCTTACATACTGAATGTCCTGGGGAAGGTCACTGCAGTTTAGCCAGCCACAGGCACTCCTCTGAGAGGCTAAACTGCAGCGGTGACCCCGAAGCTTGCAGTTGGCAAGGTGAATGTTATTATTGCACTCTAGTTCACCTTGCCCATTTTCCTGTCTTGTCTGGGCGTCTTCTCTCCACTTGATTCCGTTAGCTAAGCGAGGTGAGCCCTCGTACACAAACAGCAGAGAGCTGGCATAGAAGTGCAGCTGCTTCTGACCCTCGAACCAGCGCAGGATATCACGGATTTTACAGATGCTGAGAGAAACAGCATCTTTCCTGAGTTCCACTCCATTATGGAAGAATTGAGCCAAGCCTGCAAAAACAGAGTGCAAGAGCAGCATTTTAACATCTGAAAAGAAAAAGAAAAAAAAAAAATACAGAAGTGCCTTTTTTTACCAGTACTATTATAATCATGACTTTTTTGTTTATTTATTTATTTCTTTTCAACTGAGCTTTTCCTTTTATTACTGTAGTCAAGTAAGGAAAGGTTGAGTCATACCAGTTTTGAGCGTCTCTTGCCTCAGACTGCGTCCATAAAACTGGTCATGACTGATATAACTCTCTGAATTTACCTGGTACACCTGAGAATAAGACAGGAGGCATTGAGACAGTGAAAGAAAAGGGTTGTACAAATAATGACTGCTCATTTTCCAAAATAGATTTCAGAATAACATTAAGCCACAGGACTACACACAATTCCATGTAACTGGGACCTTTGCACCAAAGTGTTTTTGCACACAACAGTATAGTGTACCGAGTCTACAGTACTACAAAGTAAGCATAGCTAGGAGGTATGACAGCTAATAAGCCATTTTGGCCACTTTAGGCTTGTACTTTAATGGACACATATGTTAAACTCAACAAACAAATGGTTAAAATTTGCAGAAAATAGTATATTTAAGTTGGTGCCCTCTAGAGGATGTTTTAGTTTATTTTCACTTAGAAAATCAACAAAACATGTAATTTGAACAGAGGTGTTCAAACTTTTGCTTATGACTGTGTATATACTTGAGATTAACATCTCCATACAAATAGACACACAATTGCACACACAAATACACAACCACACATGATCTCAAAATGGTAAAAAATTGGAAGAAGCTGAAATCAACAAAAAGCAAATGGGAACTAAGCCTACTGGGGAAGTGGGAGAGAGAGAGAGAGCAAGAAAGAAAGAGATAAAGTTGTGTGTGTGTACGTGTTTGAGTTCGAGAGAGAGAGAGAGGGAGAGAGAGAGAGAGAAAGAGAGAGAGATAGTGAGAGCATCTCATCCACTGAGAAAAACTAATTAGATGCTAAAAGAAATTCTCAAAAAGAATGTAGGAACAGAGACGGAATATATACGTGTGTGTGTGTGTGTGTGTGTGTGTGTGTGTGTGTGTGTGTGTGCGCGTGTGTGTGTGTGTGTGTGTCTGGGGATTTGAGCGAATGGAGGAGGAATCTAGCACACAGCTAGGAAGGACAGTGAGGGTAAGCTACATAAAAACATCATCAAATATTTATGATCAGCAGCCAAAAAGTCATTTTATCAGCTTAGAACATCAGATCAAAACTTTTCTGTTTTATAAAACAATGTAAAGTCAACAATAATATAAAGTATTCAAGACGATAAATGGACATCATTATATGATGTTTTATTGTCACAGGCCTTCAGAGACCATACAGTACTTTTTTCAAACTGTGGGAGAGACTGCCCTCTAGTGGTCAGATACCAGAATGTGTTGAATGCTGTGCAATACATGAGATTTTCAACTTAAAGGGAAATTTCACATATTTTTCAAGATTTCTGCATAATGCAGCCATTATGATGAAAAGTCACTCTGAGTGGTTTGATCAGAAATGCTACATTCTGAAGAAACTTGCCAGGTCACAACAGTGGAAAACAGTGGTAAGATTTTGGACTAAAATGTACAGGCAGTAGCTGTGGCCAGTCTGGGTTACTCACTGAAAAAACAGGAACATTCCTCTTTACTACTTCAGAGAAAGCAAAAAGTCCATACTGAGATCCTGTCTACACTCCTAGTGTGTAGGCACAGCAAGGACAGGGAGGTAAACTTCAGCTGTACAGTGTGGCACTTGCTGTAGCGTTTATTGACCGTCTACTTGCCACATCTATCACTTCATGGAGGTCTCCCCCAACTTCTCTTATCAAAACAACTCCAGTAATTAACGATTTGCTAAGAAAAGGACTTGGCATATTGATCAGGCCTCTCCATTAAAGTTAGGAGAAGGACAAGCGAGTGGGAGCGTACCCTTACAGTTCTTACACCTGTCAGGCAAGAAGCTGTAAGAAGCCGCTATTCAGATAGAATGTTTTTGTTTTCTGTTCTCAGTGGTATTTATCATTAGGAACAGCCACACAGAAATTCTGTGAACAAAAACACAAGAAGTAATAGCACCCAGGGGCTATTGGATAAATAGCCCAAAGACTGAAAAAAAGAATGCATGGTAGATAGAAGGGTACAGAAAGTGATGGCTAGGCTTCATGAGTGAGAGATTAATATTAGAGCTTAACATTCTAAAGTAATAAACAGTAAATAGTCAAAGCAATCCAGTTCAGTCACAAATCAAATTTACACAGTTTTCCCCTTATCCCAGTGCAAAGGAGTGTACAACTGATGTACCCCTAGTGGATAGGGGATACCCATAGTGCAGAATCTGCCGTTACATAGAAAAGAGCAATCCCATATGACATAGTGTCTGAAATCGTTTACTACCATCACAGATTCTGTTCCCTATAATAGTGTCTATGTAGCAAACCAGATTTTCTAACAAAGTGTAGTGATTAGCAGACAATTTTGGACACAGCGCATTACAGTGGTTTTCCCACAGTGTCACTGGGGCTGAAATCACTGTAATACATGGCCTCAAGCAGTTTACGACTATCATAAAACGGTGAAAAAACTGGTACATTAATACATAACATAATAATGTGTGTATATTGAGTATTTAATTATGGCTTTGAACGTGCTTCCACCAAATTCAAAGTTCTAAAGTTGTAGTTCGGCAGCTAACTGAAACTGACCTTCTCGTCAACGGTCTCAGTTTGTTCATTTAGTGAGTGCCAAAGTTAAGTTGCAGTCAAGCGAAACACGAGTAAAATCTGCCTGGCATGAAGAAACATTCCTTGGTCAGCAAAATGTTGTTTTGTCACTCCCAGTTGCAAAAAAAACAAAAACAAAACAAAAAACACACTAATTACACAACTAACATTAACCATTTACGGAACTGTACGTTCCCTCCCTGTACCACCTAATATCAGTATTGATGTGGTCGTCTGACTTCAGCTTCAGCCCCGTGAAGAAAACAATACGGTGACAGTCCAGTGTGATCTGCGGCCAATGGCAGCGTGCACACTTGTTATAACAAACCACAGAGCAACTGCACCAGGGTTTGTTTTAATGGAACCAAAACCTGTAAGCCCACTATGAAACTTCTTTTGCACTGGAGCTATGAGGGTAATGGAAGCTTATAGCCCACCAATCAGCACTGTGCAAACTAAAAGCTTCACTCACCTCAAGCCATTTCAAATTGTAAAAGCCACCAGGAGCCTAAACCCATTAGTGAGTCTCGCTCTTCCCAGCACACAATACGTACAAAGCATGTGCTGTGAATAACTTTCCAACAACCAATAAATGGTTGATAAATTTTGCTAACATTCCTCTCTCTTGATGGAAAAACAGGCAGCACTTGGGTAGTTTGTCGTAAAAAGGGTCCTCACCAGTCACAAGGATGATGTGGGCTGTCCCACCCAGAGAATGAGTAGTGAAGAGAACTGCCTGCTCAGTAATATCTCCTGGGTTTGTCAAACGCTAGAGGGCACTTCCAAGCAAGTCTAAAATGAATGAGTTAATATGGAGCACTTCAGCAAAATCAAAGTTTGTAAATGCTGGAACATTTTTCTATGGAAGAATGCATTCATTTCCTGAACACAGAACTGTTTAAAACATTTTAACACCACTGTTATATTTTTGAGCACTTCTGAACTCCATTTATAGGACTTTATAAAGGCGCCTCATGTATGTTGTACACCCAAAACCTGTTTGCTGTAGAAAAAAGGAATTATACAGGTAAGTTTTTTGGCTTTTTAGATGAAATACATCCTCCTACTCTCCAAAATTAAAGGAAGGTCCTGGACAAATGGTCAGAAATTATTTTAACATTTAGTTTGTAGCTGTAGCTCCCTTAACCTCCATTAATTTAGGACTCACTCATGGGCACCCTCAGGCATTTTGCAGCCATGTTTTTGATTTAATGGGAGAAGTAGAAAGTGGCCAGGCTCCCCTTAAACTGGCTCTGGTCCTGCCAAAATATCTTTAACAAAACTGTGTTCCCCAACGTTCTCTCTGTGTTCAAGACTAAAGAGCTAACTTGATCGAGCAAAAGCTAAACCAGCAAACATAACTGAGCTAACAAGAATGTTCAATCATCTGTCCATCCAATCAACAAGCCATGCCAGTGTTCCCTGGATGCACATCCAGCAGCAGAGTGAGTAAGGACCTTATCTTGCCATGTAAAAGCTGGATAGTTTTAGTGAACAGAAGGGATAGCCTACAACACCAGCAGTAGAGCCCATTTCACTCAATTCTCCTCGCTCGCGCTGTTGTGTACAGTTTTGGTTCAGTGATGTAGAAGGCCGTGAGCCGTCGACTCATGCATGTGCATCAGAATATTAGGCTCAGACAGTCCTCAGATAGTTCTTAGAAACAATATTTAATTATAGTGCTATATTTTTTTTGCTAGATGTTTAATACTTAATTTCAGTACCAAATATACATTCAGCATATTTTACATTGTGTTCCCTAAAATTTAAAGTAATCTTAAAATAAAATACTTTTGTCTGTTTTTATTTACTTTTTTGCTTCATTGGCCTTTTAGTTCCAGCACAAAACTAAAGAGGGAAACTTAAGACACCAACTCTGTCTTGGCTGATTAGGGCAAGAGGAAAATTGCCTCAATTGGATTTTTTGTTGAACTATTGATTTTTTTGATTGAACAATGAGTGGTTACGGAAACAATCACACACACACACTCACACATCAACACAGTGTCTCACCCTCATTCCCAGAAGCAGGAATCCAACCTCCTCCATTGGAGGATACTTTCTAATCTGCTCTTCACGTTTCTCTCGCGAGGCAAACGGGTCATAGCTCTTCCTTCCAATCTTCACATCCATGATACACGGACATGCAAACCTCCGGGTCACATCCTCCAGCTTCAGATACACCTCTGACACAGAGAGCACACACAGAGAGGGAGAGTGTCAAGTAAAAGTTTGAGTTTTTTTCCCCACCTACAGATTCAGTATTGACAAGGTTGAATTTGCTATCACTTTGGGGTTTTTTGTGCTTAACTGCAGAGAGAGTAATCTATGCTCTGCATTCATCCATGCCCACAAAAGCATTCTTTAGTAGCACTCATTTCTAGGTTGGACAAACGTAACAGAACATAGAGATTTGCATCATTTAGATTTGCTACCTAAAGTTGAGTTTCCAGCTGAAAATGTTTCACTAGGTAGCTAAACTAAGTGGTTGTAGCTAATCAAAACTAGGCCAGCTGGAAACATCAGATTTGTCACTACGCTAACATTTAAAACAGATCTAGCCTAGGCAAGTGACCTTCCAAATATATACAAAATAAATATCTTTTAAAATGAATAACTCTCTAAATTTGTATATTTTAAGAAAATGCTCTGCACTACGATTTCTAAGTAGGTTGAATGGGACTTTCGCAAATGTTCTCTGAAGCATGCTGTGAAAGTACACACAGTACAGTATGTGTAGGCAGAGTACAGATAGGTCAACTGATTAGAGACTCTCATAAGAGAAACCTGAAAAAAGTAACAGAATGTAAAGATAAAATTTTAAACTGTAATTCCTTTTACAGCGATTTTCGTTTAATGTTCAACGTGAACAGTAAACTTGAGACACAGTCCGCTGGCTGTCATGTTAGTGAGTGCTGTTTCAGAGGGCCTGGCTGCAGTTGCTTTGCAAAGAGACTCTGATAAGACTCTCTATCCACCCAACTCTTTTCAGTTATGTCAACAGTCACTGACAGGCCAGTTCTCAACGGTCAGCTGATTAGAATCCCAGAGAAAGTGTTTTATTGTGTTTGCTGTAACTAGGCTGGTCACAGTTGGTTTAAAGTCTAAAGCTGTCACACTAAAACAGTGATCCTTTAACATATATGCACAAGAGCTAAAGCTCAAACACAACTACTGTATAATTACATTCCTGCTACACTCACAAATAATTCAAAACAAAGAGACTCAGCATACAGGCATGGCAGAAAACATGCTCTGGCTACAGTGTCACTCTTAGAGCATAAACCAACTGAAGTAGCTAGAAGGTTTGTAAACTGCCTACATTTCCTTTCATCAGCAATTACTCATATAAAACAGGACTACTGCTGCTTCCTGTCTGTTAGAGGTGATGCACTGTGCAATCTCTCCACACTGACAAATTACATTCCCCTCACCATTCCACAATCATTAACAAGTTTACCAGTCATTTATTGAGGAATAAATCCCTTAAATCAGTGTCATTAGACACAGTTTGACCCGAGATTGCGTCCTGTAAAGTGACTTAAAGCAGGGGTGTCCAATCTTATCCGCAGAGGGCCGGTGTGGCTGTAGGTTTTCATTCCAAAAGATCAGGAAGTCACCTGATGAAATGTTTGAAGACCAACTGATTGAACAAGTAGAATCAGGTGTGCTCCAGCTTGCTTTGAGTGAAAACCTGCAGCCACACCGGCACTTTGAGAATAAGATTGGACACCCCTTGACACACGGCCAAGAGATGAAAAAAATACTAACATATTATGAGGTCTAAAAGTCTGAGAGCACATCAAGTCTGGGATTTTCATTTAAACCTGGAAAATGGTGATATGTAATTGGTGAACAAATTAGTTCTTTGAGCTTTTAAGTCTCAGTTGTGTTATTTTGTCTCTTGGTTTGTTCTTGTGTCATTTACAAGTGTGCCTCATTAGTTCTTTAGAAATATTTATTACCTTTACCTGCTTTAATCTGCTGATGACCGGTTGACTTTCCTGACTGTATTTTGCCCGTCTACCTATTTTGTGATTCTTGCCCCTTGACGTTCATCCAGTGAAACTACTTTTCTGACTTTTGATTTTTTTCAAAAATAACAGTCATAATGCATATTTTGTTAATTAGCTAATTAGAAGCTAAAGTTACATTGAAAATTAAAACACAGATAATGTTACTAAATCATAGACAATGTTGCAAACTAATTTTGTGAACAAAATAAACAGTAACAATGCTACTGAGTGAAGAGCTATTTGGGAGCTGAATAAGCTAGCTCTTATTTGTGAGCTGAGTCAATTTGTTTGGCTTACTGAAAAGAACCAGAATGCAACATGGCTGGAAATAAACAAAGTAGAATTTTGAAAATTGTTTAAACAAATAAAATTCTGCACCATTTCTAGGTCGCTATTCAAATTTAAGTAAATTTGTGACCCTAACCTTGTTAAGGCCTTTGTACCAAAAGGTCATATTTGATCTCCTCATCAGAAGACAAACCAAGTTAATGCCAGTTCAAAAGGGGAAACATCAAATACTAAGAAATTTTGTACTTCATGTGAATACTTCAAAGATTCTTCTTTTGCTTGATGATATAATTTGTAATGAAAAGGTCTGCATTAAAAAAATAAATGCATTTTCACTAGCGGTCTCAGACTTTTACCCACCTTTATGTATATGTAAACAGCCAGTTGTGTTATTTACATTGATCTTGATGGCAGACATGAAATTATATAATGAAGTTACTATAGCATTATAAGCAGGTCAGTGCTCGACAGGTCTACTTTCTCACCATTTGGTGATTCCGATGATGCCCATGTGCCATAGTACCTGGGCAGGTGTTGCTGCAGGGCCAGTAGCTGTGGGTCTGTGCAGGCTTGAGCATACACCTAAAGAACACATAACAGTGAAGGTGGATGAAAATTGGATTCTTAGAGAAAAACTAATATCACAAAAATTGCAGCCTGTATGATACTTTAGAAAACAGACCATTTAAAGTGAGTAAGTAGAGATCTAGAGGTTTTGGATCTGTCTGCCGGTTGTTATAGGAGGTCATGTCTTTTTTTCCAGTGGGTTTATTACCTGTTTGTAGAAGTGCATCTCACGGGGGCCTCTGGGAGGAGGCTGCAGCTGTTTCAGCACTGTGCCATCAGGGTGCTGCAGGATACCTGAGCAATTACATACAAAAATTGAATCAAACTCTGTATCGATGCAACTGTTCTGACCATATACAGACAACAGATGAGAAAACACCTAAGGGAAAATCATTTTGTGACTAAATGGCATCAGTGCATCATAAAAAATATAGTCAATCATGTTCTAATGTTGATTACATTTTCTAGATATTAATAAACAGTTCAATCATTTTGCAATGCTGATTACATTTTCTAAACATGATCAAACATTAATTCCCCAGCATAATCCTAACTGAATACATTCTAAAAAGTATTAGTGGGAAATTGTTATTGCGTCCATAAAGAAACCATATCGCAGCCTTGCGCCTCACCAAATTTCCTCTGTACTGCTCAAAGTCAATGTACTGTGTTAAAAGTTACAATCATTAATATCAAGGGAGCCAAAATGTAGCCTATATCAGAGGAGGATTCAAGCCCACATATCTGCTGCGTTCTCATTTACTAACACTTAAACCAGGCAATCATCGCTCTTACAGCCTTTGAATACCAGGCTCAGGTTTGTCTGCAGCTGAAACAATGGAAACATTGCTAGCTGGCAACCCTGAAAAACTGGACTGAAAACCCCTGGTCTACATGAAGTGTGGCATGATGTGAGGCACAAAAAGAGACACTTCTTTTTAACTTCTCCATTTACTCTCTGTGGTGATTGGAGAACTTAAACAACTAAGTGAACCATTAACCCAGGCCTCAAACAGCATTAGCCGGAGCCTAGTCTTTTCTGTCACTGAACACTCACACAAGCCAGAGAGAAACACAGCCTCTTTGTTCAAACATCCCCCAAATGCTGAGCAACTACAATCTAAAAAAGGTTCTCATTGCATTCTTATTCACTGGGCTTTTTGGCCTGGTGCACCAGGAGAGGCAGTACTACCACCCCCATACTTCTTTTTCAGTCTTTTCACATCACTGCAGTATCTAGGTCTCCTTTAGGTGTAGGAGGCAAAAGTTGTTAAGACAATATGAGCGTTAGCCATTTGTCTATCCTACTGAGCTCTATGCATAAGAAAGAATCCCCAGAACCTCACCCACCCTGAGTGGGAGCACACATCCACCACTCATTCAAAAAAACAAAGAGATAAAGAGATGATGAACTTAGATCACCCATGCATGATCTGATACCTCCATTCAGACAGGGCAGCAGTATTTGATCTCTAATCTCTAACAGCTTTATCATCACACTACCGCCTGGTAGAATTAAAGCGTTCAGCACCACTGTACTGATAAGCTTCCACTGGACTTTATAACACTGCAAAGAGCTTGGCATGAAAGACGTTTTGATACGTCCAGGAGCTTTTATCGCAATAACAATACAGTATAATTAATCATGTGTGTCTGAGTTAAAGGGGAATTCCATGGATTTTTCACAATTTCGGCATATTTCGAACACTGACATGTAAACAAAGCCATTCAAAGTGGTTTGATGTAAAATGGCTAATTTCTTTACAGTGTTGGTTAAAGGAACCAGGGCTTGCAATGTCTACAACACAAAAACAATCATTTTATTTATTATCTAAAAAAACTAGGGAACCTACATGTGTCTGCTTAGTTATTATACATTATGTTGATAATGCATTAAAAAAGTGTTAAAGCTAAATAAAAAAAATCCTTCAGGTACTACTTTACAACACCATACTTCTACCTATTTGTCATGAATGTATTAGAAAAAGTTTTAGGTTAAAATAATCTCGATACTATTTAACATACTGTTCAGGCATCAGGAAGCGAATTCATAACTATTTCATGTAATAATTAGTGAGGTAGCTTTTAGAGGCCTCAGACGTCTGGTTCCTATCACTACCACTGTGAACATTTCTGACTCTCCGTGTTTCTCTAGTGTGGAGCATTTCACAACAGACCACTCTGAATGATTTTGTTTACATCCTAACTGTTTCATTCCACAGGCATCTGGAAAATTCAGTAGAATTTCCCTTGAAGTGTGATTTCAAAATCTGTTTTACAGTTTCGTATGTGGAAAAAACTCTTCAGAGGTAATTAAAATGAACGTTACTGATGAATTTTCCATAGACTTTAATCTATCTGTTAATCTGCTTTCCTGCTGATACTCAGCTATTCGACCCTTATACACCATCACGAGTAGTGTTACTTGCAACAGAGCACGTAGAGAGGGAGAGAGAGAGGGAGAGAGAGAGGGAGGGAGAGAGGGAGGGAGGGAGGAAGAGAGAGAGAGAGTGAAGCAAAACTGACAGCCGAACGACGCTCACACCTGCGGTTCAGGCTTCACACATGCGCTCCTAAACTCTACATGTGAGACATATATATAAATTAATATATATTTTAGTTTACATATACATATATATATATATATATATATAATATATAAAAGACAGTGCTGATGGGAACTGACCCACTTTACTGATCCCGTATTTGTGTCCGGCCACCTGATGAGGCAGCGGGACGCATCCGCTCGGTCTCTGCTCGACCGCTGGACCGTCCGCTTCCAGTGCGTCCACAGCTAAAGAAGAGTCCACCACTCGGTCTTCTGTAGCCATCCTGAACTTCTGCTGTCATACCATAGTTACCATAGTCTCACTGCTGGGCGGGGGAGCCTGTTGCTTTGAGGAGTTTCAGCTCACCTGGATGTCCGAGTGTGGAGAAGCAACAGCTGCATTAAAGGAACGACTGAACACCTACGAAAGTGCGCGGTCAGAAGGCGAACTAGCTCTAACGCAGACTAGCCACACCCCACTTCCTCGAAACCACAAGCTACACCCGTCCACACCTCCCATGGTCGTTAAAGTTCATTCATAAACTCCGAGGTCGAGTTACTCCGCGCTCTTCTTCTCGTCTCTGTTCACAGCTCAGGGGCTCCACTGAGGAGCAGGGTCTTCTGCTGGTCTTTGGGTCAAATTCAAACGCCTGTTGATTATCACGGAGCTCCGCCTGTCCATGTGCTCCCGCTGATCGGGCTGAAGGACCGAAAGCTCACACGAGGAGGAGGAAGTCTCAGCACTCACCATCTGTCAGAGGCGAGGACGAGCGTGTAAACCTGCAGCTCACAACACAGCCCTGTTCACGAATCGAGGGCTCAGTTTCACTTTAATAGTTAAATAATGGTGACCTTTGCTTTTGTCATTTCATCTCCCCTTACACGATTAACGGCACAGCGACGGAGACCAGGCGATTTCACAGCTATAGCCGAGGGGTTGTTGACATACCGTATCGATGTGCGCATCAGTGATGAACGAAAGTGCGCAGGACAGCTGGGCTTTAATTAATTCCACTATTCTATACAAAATCATCTCAAATTTCTGGTAATTAAGTGACGACGAACGCAATGTAAACGTGTAGAAAATGTAAACAATAAAATATAAAAGCACGATTGCCATTTTAAAAATGTTTTTATTGGGGGAAGCATCTAATACGCGTATGTGCCATATGAGCATTCTTGCACTTTTATTATGAAATATTTTAAAAATAAGAGTACTTTTTTAATTTACTAGGAACCCCATTCAGTAAACATCTTTGTACCTTTTAAGACAAACTAATTGGAAGTCATTGTGTCTGTGTGGAAGCACTACACATTGGTGTAAACTCAGCACTCCAGTTTTTTTTTATTTTTATTTTTTTAGCAGTTTATTAGCAGTTATTTAGATGGTGGACTTAAAGGGTACACTGTCATGGCTAAACCTGCATTAGACATGCTAAGACATGCAAGATCTATTTAAAAAAAAATATTTAAAACATTACAATCATTAAAAATATCAATGCAAGTTTGTTTTCTGTTTCTAAAACAGACCATCAATGAAATTTCAGATCGTAGTCATAGTGTACATATGATGTTTAAATTCCTGTTTGACACTGCTGGCCCCTGTATGCCCACTAACCCAATCATACAACATCTGTCAATAGATTTTGAAAGTAAGTTTAATGTCTATAAAAAACACAAGGCTTCTTTCTTGTATATGGATGCATTATGAGTTGTGCGAAAAGAAATCACGAAAACTAACTTCTCCTAAATTTACTGTTCACAGTGTACAGTAAAAAAAGAAAGAATATGAATTCTTAGTTAAAGCTTCTTATCTGGGGTAAAATAAGACAAAAAGCCAATCTGTTTTATTAATTATTCAAAGTCATACCATAAGTCAAATTTCAGTTACATAAATTAAATTTTGTAGTAGTAAAATGAATATTTCTCAAGTAAAAACAGGTAAACATTGCTTATTAGGAATATAGAGGGCCCCTTGAAGCACTATCCAGTTTTTTTTTCCTCAATAGAAATAATTGAAAAAAATAATCACATGGTTACTTAGATTTAGATGGGCATATTGGGGGCTCCCCACTTATTTATTATTTATTTATTTTGGGGGGTGCTGTAGTACTATCAAGTTTTTATCAAGTACTCTATCAAGTAATTATTAATGATATTATTTGTTAGCACTACAATTGCTCTCCAACACTTCACTGCGCTAGCTCGTAAACAAAATAATTATATATTTGTGAAATGTGAATCTTTTAGGTAAAACATCTGCAACATCACAAGGTTAATACTGTTTATCAGTACTAGAAATACTCAGCACTATAAGCATGTATAAGGCTGTAGTAGACAGAAATAATGGATTTATTGCTGACAAATACAATTATTCAGGGAAAAAAAAAAAAAAAAAAACAAAAACAACGTCTTATGGAGGTATTTTTAATTTAGCTTACCAACTGTGGGAGAAATGGAAGCATGAGTGCAGTAATGACAGGCTCTGCTAAAGTAGTGCTAAAGAAACATACTACATTTCTGGTACCATTCAAATCATTAAAAAAATGAACTGAGTTTACTTGCAAATCACAGGCATTTACACAATCTGTCACACATACAATCAGTTCTGTCAGAGAAAAGTCAAGCATCAGTGTGTTTATCATAGTGATATCGCCCCGAAGATTTCATTAAGATTGCACAGTATTCCACATTTACTCATTTCTAATGAACTAGTAGCACTACTTAAGGTCACATGTGTAGGTTAATTGGCAACATTTGATCACACAAATTCAATTAGTTGGTATAGTTATTGCATTACCAGCTAGAATCTTTTAGGCTTAGTTAAAAAGGCAGGTAACACACCTCCAAGGCTTTGTTTAAAAGTTTTTTTTTCCTGATCCTTTCTGAACAAGAAACACCAGATAAACTGTGATTTGCAATACAGTTACATACACCACAATCAAAATACCAATATCAAAATCAAAATATCTAATCTCAGTATCATGTCTAAACACAGGATGCTGATCAGGCAGCAAGGAAAGAAATCTGATTTAGGCATTTCTCATGTCTGTAAGTATTCACATCTTCAGTGCTTAATGTGTGAACTTAATCCCATCTTTTTAAAGCTCATAAGATTTTCTAAGCAGAGTTTATTTCATGCTGAAATGTCAAATAAGATTTGTACTTTGTGGTAAAACAGATTAAGATGTTCATTTGGTATTTGGTTGAATTTGTTTAAATGAGCTTCTATTTTGTTGTACTTTGCTCAGTGAAACTCAACTGAGATTCTAACCAGAACTGACACAACCACATTCCATTTGTTTAGTTTTAAACAATCAGATCTGTCTGATTAAATGTATACTTGGAAGCACAAAGCATAGTTCAGTAATTTGTTTCATATATTTCTTGTTACCACGCGCTTAAATGTAAACTACTTTATGAAGCTGTCCATTAAGTGCTTTTGTTCACAACAGTTAATGTAACTTATAACCAAGTCTTAAGCTTGTCAGTCAGAACACATTCCAGACATCAGCTGGGAAGGAACCTGGTATTCACTAGAGAGATCAGAATACCAGTTAAAAATGCTAGTGTACTTTTAAACAAGAAAACAAGTGTTCAGCTGTTGACAGTAATCATGGTTACTACAAAAAAAAACTTTGATAAATGGATAAAACTACACCAAGAAACATGATGGAAGACAGGTTAGACAACAGGCCCATGAAGATCAACATACCAGGGGCCCAAGTAGACCATGTATTACACACACCCACACACACAGAGAAACAAGAATATCAGCTCAGCTGCACGTGAGGCAAATAAGAACTAATCTCTCTCACACCTTTAATGAGCAGAGACAGCTGTGCATCCATGAGCAGCGGCAACCCTGAGTGTATGATCGCTCTCACTCATGCGTCCTTGCGCTTTATGATCAAGGGGCCCACATTGTCCCCCGTCTCCTGATTGTGTTTTGCATGAGCACCATCGCAGTATGGGAACTGCAAAACAGAAATAAATTCCATCATTTAAAACAGTACAGAGAACAAAATCTAATTTACATATTTGTCCACTTACAGCAGATGCTGTCAAATCAGTTGAGCCATGTTTGGTATCCAAATTTTAATTCTTTGCTTCCTATTGCTAGCAAACCCTAGAAGTCAGTCACCCAAATCTTTTTCGTGAGAAAATCCCCAAAACTTCTCTTAAACTGCTCAACCACATCCAGCTCTTCATTAAAGTCACAAAGACCTACTGATGTGGGTTACAACACAGTATGACTTACTGTTAATTACAAAAAAGAATTTAAAAAAAAAAAAAACGTGTGTGATCTTAATGAAGACCTGGATGCCATTTGAGCTGTCTGGGAGAACTTTTGGGCCTGTATCTACGACAATTTGTGTCACTTGCCTTGTAATGTTAGCAACACTAGCCTCCTAGCTCCAGTGCTGAGCTAGGTAAGCAAAATCTGGACACCAAGCATGTCTTGGTTGATTGACTACATCCGGGTAGAAAATTGTGGAAAATTGTGTACATTTGATTTTTCACCAAAGCATTCCTTGATTACAGCTGTCTGACCTCAGCATGCACTGCAACAGGAAATTGCTTTTCTAACATAGAAAACAGTAGCATGCATGTTCTTAAAAACTCAGGACAGAAAATTGTAAGTATGAAATATGTAAGGGTCCTGTATCACTGATATTCCCCTCAGGTCTCTTCCAAGGGTCTATCATTTCTATCTTACATGATAACCACTATCAGTGATCAAAACTAAGCATCTGGGCATATCTTAACTTAATATATAGGTGGTGGGGGGTACCCACACTCAAATGACTTGATTTTTTTTAATACCCTTACAAATAAACAGAGTAATCTCACTCCTTAGTCAGGTTTAAATAACCCACGTGACTAGCATGGTCAACTTCACTAGAAAGGTTTTAGCACTTTATAGATTTACTTTGGCCCTATTAAGAGGATTCAGTCATATCTTACCTTTTTAGACCTCCAACATCTACAGTACACGGCTTTATCACCGAGGTCCTCAATGTCAAACGCATGCACCACTTTGGGGTTGTCTTTCTGGAGGTCTAGGTTCACCTTTGGTTTTGCACATTTGGCTTTGGAGAAAAATGTTTTGTAGACCAGAACTCCCACAGCTGCAGCTCCAGCAGTGACGGAGAGAGCCGTTACCAACTCAGCTGTTATCAAAAACACAGCAATGTTAGTTTAGTTTTCCCTGTAAATGTAGGTGTTAACAACAATATGCAGATGACTTGATCTCAAGTCTTAAACAGTTCAGACTCCGTTACTATTTAAACAACACGGATATCCATATTTAATCCAATATTAGGTGGTTTAGGTAACTACACTGCTAAAATTGGTCCTGTTTAGTAGCATTATCGTCTTAGCGTGTCATATGCTCGGCGTGTTGAAACGCACTTGGCTGTGGGGAGCTAACCTAGCAAAGGTTAAGTAACAAAGCTAGCTGCATTTGTCGTTAGCAATGTGCTTGATTTTGGTCGCTTTGACTTTTCGACAGAACAGATTTGCCAGGTGAAGCTCAGATAAGGAGACTCAGTGGTGAAGGAAGCAGCTACACAAACAAATAACTGGGATTAATACAGGTAATTCACAGCTAGCTGGCTGGCTAGCTAACGGGTTCAAGTACACACAAACTTATAAGCAATAAGGTAACCAGAAAAGACAAAAAATATGGACAAAAAAACAGTTATATGAACATTACCTTTAGACATAGAGTGTGAATTACTCATTGCTGTGCCGTACAATTAATTTAGTCAGCACCGCGGAAACCTGTGGGAAAGTGTCCTCCACCGTAGTGTTTCTGAAAGTATGTCGTCCAATAACGCTTACTTTAAAAGTCCTCCGGGGGACTGTGTGGGCTGAGTCCTTCAAGCGAATCAACATTGCAACCAAGAGCGCATACGACGAAATAGTGAGAATTGAAGTAGCGAAATAGCGAGAATAAACTTTTAAAAAACTAAACAAATTAAAGATTACTTTTTCTGCAGATAAATGAAGCATTTTAGGTAAATCAAACCTCACTGTCACCCTTTGGCTCCTTCAAAACTCAAAATTGATTGAAGTAAAGGTTATGATTTAACCCTTGTGTGGTGTTCAGGTCTGTGGGACCCATTTTCAATGTTTACCAGAAGAAAAAATGATGTAATTTATTATTATTTCAACCCCAGATTCCGTTGCCTTTGCTCATTTTCTTTCAAGAACATATAAAATATTTAATAACCAAACACTGTTCACCCCCTACAAATTTATATGACACATGTGGTGTTGGGGTGAACTCATAGGGAATAAAAGTGTGGAGGTGCTGTGTCCCTTCCTGTTCTCATCCTACATGGCCTGCTGTTAGTGTGTGTGTGTGTGTGTGTGTGTTTATATGTTTGTCTATGTGTGTGCGTGTGTGTGTGAAGGTGGACAACATGGACGGGCTGCTGACTGGCTACAGCTGCTGAAGGAGAACCCTACGCTGACCACTTGTATATTTTTAACATCTGGTGTTTTTACATAAATTGTTATGGCTGTATTGATTAAAAAAAAACAATAATGCGGTGGGTTCACCAGACCACTGAGTAACAAAAACATGAACAAGGATTAACGAACAAGGGTTAATCAGGCATAAGCGACCAAAGAGACAACTGAGAAGTCAAAGGCTTTTATTTTGAATTTCTACTTGAAATGTGTGAATCGGAAAATAACACTAGACTTCAGGTGCGTCACTCATATCCCCCCCAGCCTGCTCCCGCAGCCGGTTTGAGCTGTCACTGATCCAGATCTACGTTTTGGGCGATGTGGTTTGTGAGTGTCTTTTCAAATATTTCTCATATTTCTGTTATCAGCTCACAGCAAACGTTACTAACATCAGGATCTTTGGATCTGGATCACCGAGTTGAGCAGCAGTGGTCCGCTAGCCTCCTGCTAGCATCCGGGCTAACTGCCTTGTTGTTGTCTCTAAACTAAATATGTATTTTAAGTACAGAATAATAGCCGGTTAGATTTGTATCTGAGTGTAAGGTTGGTCGAACTGATAAAGACTTGCGCGGTGAAATAAACCAACTCACACCATAAACATTTAACCTGGTTTGCACTTTAAATGGGAACTAATCCGATGTATGAAGTTTTATGTAAAATTAAATGGTTATTATGTAAACAAAGTCATCCAGAGTGGTTTGTTGTGAAGTGCTCTGTTCTAGAGAAACGTACTGAGTCAGAATTGTTTTCAGTGATCTTGATGGGAACCAGACGTCTGGAGCTTTTAATGCCTCTAAAAGTTTCTCCAGAAAGTTTTTAAACAACAACAACAAAAACAATGTTGTAAGACAATATGGTCCCCAGAGGAGACTTATTATTTCAGACTTACAGCTATTATGTTATTATAAAAAGTTCACGCATGGTTTTGGATAGTAAGTAAAATGGCTCTGTTTAGGTTGTAGACATCACAATCCTTGGTTCCTATCACCACCATTGTAAAGAAAATCAGAGTCGGTAAGTTTCTCCATAGTTAACCTTTTCACATTAACCCACTCAGAATGACTCAAATAAATAAAACAGTTCCCATTTAAAGGATTAAGATGAGAATTTCTAACTTCTACACACATTTATTCATCTTTTCTTTCAGGAGAAACAATAAGTTATGAGTGGAAGGAGGAGAGGAAAACCCAATCGGGGTGGAGGACGGTTTAATAAGCCCAGAGGAGGAGGAGGAGGAGGTGGAGGAGGGGGTGGTGGAGGGAGGAAAGGAGCCAGTGGTTGGGATGATGGAGATGATTTCAGCCTGGACCTTGGACCAAGTCGCTCCTGCAAACCTCCACCAAGCAGAGGCAGAGGAAGGGGTGCTTTTCAAGGGACAAGCCATGGCAGCAGTAGGGGCAGGGGACGAGGCAGTGGTCAGAGTTTTCCCAAGTTTTCTTATGATGGGAGAGGTGGCCCCAGACAAGGCGAGGAACGGCGAGATAGGGTTAGATCAGAGCAGGTTCATCTGCCCCTACAGAAGATCCACATGACATCAGAAAACCAGCTGCAAGTTAAAGAACTGCTGAGAGAACTTCAGAGTCAGGAATACAACACACCAAACAGGTTAGTATATATGGAAGAGTAACTTGAACTGTAATATCTACCATTTGCTGATAGGTGGTAGTTTAACAGTAAGATGGGAAAATGAAGGGACACTAGGAAAGCATGGGGGTCTTTCAAGCTGAATTTAAAAAGAGGATTTGAAGTAGGTGTGAGTCCTTACCAAGACAGCATGTGAGGGTCTTTGTTCTTGGTCAGTAACTCTAACCATCTTTTTTTTCTTCAACCTAGCGGCTCAGACTATGAGGCAGAGGAAGAGGAGGAAGAGTATGATGAGCTGGACTACCGTGAAGATGGTCAGTTCTGGAGCACTCATGATGATGGAGTAGAGTGTGCAGAGGATGGCACCTATGAGGAAGATTATAAGGAAGAGACACGAGCCAAACCGGAGCCGGTTGTTTCCCTGTTTGCTTTAGGCACTCTCTGCAGGTACGCATTGTTCTATGCCTACATTATGTCGTTAGATTGAAACTGACGTTTAACACAGATTAGCCCACCTCCCTCAAGATTGTTTATCCAACATCTCAGTTTCAAACTGACCATATAGCCAAAGTTTTATATTTTAGCTTGTAGAGAATCATTCCTGTCCTGTCCTCTGCCCAACAGACCTTTTCACAGTACTATTACATTAATACTACTGTTGCTCAATTAAAAACAATTATCAGTTGATCATTAGTTGCCAAATAATCGCTGCCTTCTCCATGAATCGATTATTTAGCAGTTTGCATGATGTGTGTTCTCCTACTGGTCTCATACAGTAAGAAACAAAGCCTGATGAACACATTTGTCTTGCCATAGCGCTTTTAGGCATCATAGTTTCGTTTTTTTACAAAGCTCAGTTCCAAGTCGGGATGGTACGTGAAGTGCGAATAAAAACAGATTTTGTGAATCCACTTTGAATTGTATATAAGTAAAAATAGTTTAGACAAGATATTTACTGTTACTTTTTCAGCTTTGTTGTTTTTGTTGATATAGCCAAGGCACTCAAGTTGAATTCAGCATGTGTTACAACAGCATTGCTGCACATTCAGAAAGTGCAGTTGCTAGGCCTGCAGTCCAGACCTGTCTCGCATTGAAAATGTGTGTTGCATTATGAAGAGCAATATACAGTAGCAAAGACTGTTGTGCAGCCAAAGACTTGCAAAAAATTCCACTTTGAAAACTGGATCAGTCGGGGTCTTCAGTCCCAAAATGATTAAGTTAGGAATATTCTAGAAACATTGTTGGATAAATTATCATTTTTACATTTGCATGTTACAGGTATGGCTTTGATCGTGACCGAAGTAGGCAAGCCCTGGAAGCAGGGCAAGGCAGCTCAGGGCAGAGCAGTGGGCGAGGTGAAGTTGGAGCAACATTAGAGTTCCTCCTCTCTCAGATGTTTGCTGAGAGGTTTGGTTCCACAGCCCTCGGCCCTCAGGTGCCTGACCCTCCCTCACAGGAGGAATGTGTGGCCCTTCGCCAGGAGGAGGCCCTCGCTTTAACTGCCATATATGGGGAACGCTTCTGTGAACGAATCAGTGATCATGTCTGGACTGTCAATCTGGATCTTCTGTGGTTGACTGAGGGCCATAGCAGGTCTTCAGACTCAACCACTGGTAGACATCAAACAGGGTCTTCATCCACTCAGTTGTGCAAGTTCTTCCTAAAAGGAGGATGTAAGTTCGGAAACCGCTGCAAGTTCAAACACCAAAGCCAAACAGAGTCCAGTGGCCATAGAGACCCATATGGACCCAGCCAACCTGGGTTTAGTAGTACTGAACCCCCTGTTTACCAACTGGAAGTCCGATTTCCGACAGGAAGTCGTTACCCCTTCCAGCCACCATTAGCTGCCTTCAGTACGACTGATGATGCAATCTCTGGAGCAGGACGCCTTAATGTGACAGAATATCTTTTCAGCCAGTCACTTACAGCTGCGCAAGAGGGTGAGCCAGTGGTCTACACCCTCATCTCCTGCCTTGAAGAAGATGGGCCAGTCAGAGAGCTTCTTTCAGCTTCTCATCACAAATATAGTGCCCCACCCCCTGTGATAGCTCCACCTGCTGTCACCACAAGGAGCCGGGGCCCTAAGAGCAACACAGACAACAGCATGCCGACCAGCACTTCAGCTACATCCAGAACAACTGACATCCCAACCTCAGAGATCACCCCCCTTAGAGTCAGACGCACAGAAGGTAATTTATCCATGTTTTAACCAAATAATTGTCACTGTCATGAGAAAACCTCATTTCCAAAACACTAACATAAATAATTTATAGGAACGTTTTCAAAATTTCTGTTGGTCTATTTGTCATTAAATATGTACACAATGAAAAGCATAACTGGCATTTTTAAATAGCATAAAGATTTTCTTTTTAACTGTTTTATTATGGCAGCATTACAGGGAAATGAAAAAAGTGTTCAGACACTAGACATATTAGCATTTTCATTATTTAATATACTTTGAGTGCATATATGCACTGTAAATTTACACACTAAATCTTTTGACTTTGTGCTTATAAATATGTACCAAAGTACGTATTTATAAGCATAAACTAAGATATGTTTAAAAGCAAAATTCACAGACCACAAATTAATAACATTAGTACTTATTGCAAAGCCACCGTTGGCAGTTACAGCTTAGAGAATTCAAGATCATTCACCATTGGAAACCAGTCTTATGTTATTTTTGCTGTGTGTTTGAGGTCATTGCAGTGGCTATGCACACCGGAAATATAGAAATATGTATAATAAATAAATGTGTAAATAATAGTGTGTAATTAACCAAAACAAATGTGTCTGAATCCTAATTTCTCCTCACTGTATATTCCAGCACTATGAAGAAGTGTTCTGTCTTTGATGTTTTACAGTGAAGAAAAGACATTAGTACACTTATGGATCGGTGCAGCTCTGATAGTCAATTGAACTTTTTCAATTTCAGTACTTTCCTAGAAACAAAGCAGTAATGAACATGCAACCCTGTGTTTACTACAGCAGAGTGTCTCAACAAAGAGGATGTAGAAGATGAAGATGAGGAATATGATGAAGACAGTGAAGAATGTGTTCCTGTGGAGAATGAGAGCTATGTGAACTTAAGGAAGAAGATGGGGAAGAAGGCTGAGACTAGAGCTGAAGACATTCTGAAGGAGAACAAGAAACTTTGCAGAGAGTTCACAAGAAAATCGGTAACACAGCCTTGTAAACGCCTCACATTTGACGTCCATAAACTCTAGTACAGCTTTAAAAGCTATTGACGAATTGAAACATGCATAGGAAGCATTTCTGTACAGTCACCTCAAAGTTCCAAAGGCAATCTGTATTCATTTATCTTGAAATCCTGAAATCAGAAATGTACACTTTGTATTAAATCTCATGTATGTCAGTCTTCCAGGCGCTATGGCTCCATGCAGCAGCAGAGGTGCAAGCTGCCTGTGTGGGAGGAGAAGGAGAACATTCTGGACTCTCTGGATAAGAATCAGGTTCTCGTGATCAGTGGGATGACTGGGTACATCATGTATAATATGTCTAAATTGAGATTCTCTTAAAGAGTATTAGAAACATGGTGAGTTCTGTTTATATCTGTTTATATCTGTTTTAACTCAGGTGTGGTAAGACCACACAGATCCCCCAGTTTATCTTGGATGATTCACTGAGCAGGCGACCAGAGGCTGTAGCCAACATCATATGTACTCAGCCACGGCGCATCTCTGCCATTGCTGTGGCAACCAGGGTTTCGCAGGAGCGGGCAGAGGCTCTGGGCCACTCCACGGGGTACCAGATACGCTTGGAGACCATCAGGGTAACTCCGAAGTCTTTTCTTATACACACATACAGTGCTGTACTCAAGTCAGAGACCACTCTTCATTTATGTCCCATCAAAATGGCCATTAAATAGTTTAAGTTTTTCATTTTCTGGAGATATTTCTGAGGACATTAGATATAAGTTATCCACTTTCAGAAGAAAGAGGAAAAATATAGAGAAAATTGGACTCTTAATAACAGTGCCAGACCTGGTAGACCACCAAATATAAACAGTATTTAAAGCTTTCATCTTTGAGAGAGAGGAGAAAATCAAGCTCCACTCTTACTTCAGATCTGAACAAATCCACAGGTGTCTCTGTCCATCCTTCCACTGTGAGAAGATAGCATTCTGAGTATAAAAGGATGTGCAGCTGTTAAGAAGCCATTTCTGAAAAATGGAAGTAGGCAAAAAATAATAAAACTTGCAAATCAAACAAAGAAGCTGCTGGTGTTCTCTGAACAATGAACTGACTACCCCAGAGTCCACACCTCAGCAAAACTGAATGTGTTTGGGACTACTTGGATTGCGAGAAGCAGAAAATGCAACCAGCTTCACAGATTGAACTTTGGAGGTGTGGAAGAATCTCCCTACAGATTTCTTTGAAAAACTGAAAATGAGTCTCTCAAAAAGAATGGAAGCCATGCAAAGGGTAGACACACTAAATACTGAAAAAGTGAAATTATATTTAGTTATTGAGACTGCTGTGTAATTCTGTTAAATATTTGTTTTCTACGTCTTTTCTGACGTAGCTATGCTGAGAAATAATATTTTGTACTTAATGGCCATTTGAAATAAATAAATAAAATAAATAAATACAATAAATAAATGGTACTAATAAACATTGTTTGATAATAATAAACAAATGTTTAATAATAAACATTGGTTTCTAAATATTGCACAGTACTGTATACACACATATGCAACATCTCTGCTGTTGTTGTAAACATTAAAGTGATATTTTGGCCAAAAATCTAATTTATACAATTTATACAATAGCCCTTAAATGTTTCAGTCAACCAGGACGTGTTTTGTATCTGATGTTTGCTTAATTAGTTTTGCTTCAGAGCTACCCCACCAGTTAGAATTGTGCCACCTGCACATTTAATACTCTATGACATACATATATCTGTACTAGTGGTCAAAAACATGGATAGTTCAAGCTTCAAGATGGAAGCTACAACAGTTTTTAGCTATGCAGCATACTTTTGTCCATTTTTATAAGAAATGGTATTCAGAAACCTTAAAAGAGGCTTAACATGGTTTTGTTGATATATATTTTATCGATAGGCGGTAGGCTATAAGCTTCCATTTTTGCCGCTTTATGAGACATGGCATTTATGTTTGTTTCTAGTCCTCTAGTACTAGGCTGTTGTTCTGCACCACCGGTGTTCTGTTACGGAGATTAGAGGGAGATGCTGAGCTCAGTGGGGTCACCCATGTTATTGTGGATGAGGTCCATGAGCGCACGGAAGAGAGGTAAGAGAAAGTTTATTTCTGATCTCATTTATATGTACACATACACAAAGGGTGGCATATGACATTGACATCACTTTCTGTCTTCTAGTGACTTCTTGTTGCTGGTTCTGAAGGATCTGATGGTGCAGAGGTCAGATCTGAAAATCATCCTGATGAGTGCTACTCTCAACGCTGATCTTTTCTCACAATATTTCCACAATTGCCCCACTATCCACATACCAGGTAAAGTCTCAGCAGTCTCCATTAGGCACATTCATATGCTGTTATTAGGCCAAAAATGTCTTTGATGAATTGCCATCCTTTGCTTGTAGGACGTACATTCCCGTGGAGCAGTTTTTCCTTGAAGATGCCATTGCTAAGACTAGGTAAAGAGCAGAGTTTTCTGCAAACTTATTTGCATATATTTATCATCTAAATTTGTTTGCAATAATTATTGTTTGCATATATTTATCAGGTATGTGATAGAGGATGGCAGCCCATATCGGCGTTCAGCAAAACAAAACGGCCCGTCCAATCAAGGGGGCAAGGCTGGGAGAGGACGGCCTGTTGTTGAGGACATGGATGACGATGGTGGTTGGTCATTCGGCTCCTTCATGAAGAAAGATGCGGTGAAAGACTCCATACCTGACCAGCAGCTCAGTCAGCAGGAGCTCACACTGCGATATCCAAGTAAGTGGACCAAGATCTATAATTACATATAATTACATTTGTTGTAGCATGTGTTGTTCAGTTAGTTCTGTGACTTTATTAATATCAGGGCTGTGGACCATGACCACGAATGAAATGTATCTTTTTACTATGATTGTTATACTCACATAGAAAAACTGAATAAATTTAGAACATTAATATATTTGTTTGTTTTTTTGTTTTTTTGTTTTTTTACTTCCACCACTGCCAAAACTGCTAACTGACAATTTATGGCTAGTGCTGAATGCATGTTTTGTGTTCTAAATGTGAGCATTCTGAATATCTCATTACAAGATTACTCAAAGACTGTGGTGAAAACCCTGGCTGCAATGGACCTGGATAAAATCAACATGGATCTCCTGGAAAGTGTCCTTGAGTGGATTGTAGATGGAGACCACAACTTCCCTCCAGGTAATGGTTGGATTGGAGTTTTATTTCACACTCACATAGCAGTTTTACAAAACTGAATTTCAAGAGCATTTACAAAGTCCACTTAAAAAAAGCATAAATAAATACTAACAAATCTCATCTAAATGCATGCAGTAGCAAACACATTTAAAATCCATTTTAGGACGGGGATGGATGACTTACACTATCTGTCAGTTCTCATTTTTGGGGTCTGTAATTGGCTATTCCTGGTTTTCTGGCTGGATGTCTGGGCCCTGAAGGGTGGAAGCCAGTCTGTGAAGGGAGAGTTTAGATGGCTGAAGGCAAACTCCCTACACAGTGTGTTTCTTCTCACACAATGTGCGAGAATTTTCAGAGCCTTTTGATAGGTAGAATATATCCTGCCAGTGATGGTTTGGCATGCGCATTTCTGGACACTTTCGATCTGGTTTGCTAGAGCTTTCCATGCCATCCTGAGAAGGCATACTCTAATGCTGGACAAATGCCCTCAGTGTATATTCATGTCAAATCCAAAGTGGTCACCCTGACTATTCTCAGTCTCCTCAAATAAATTAATGTATTGGCTTTCTTGACAATTGCAGCTATATGATGATCCTACTGTAATGCAAACTGTATCAAAATCCCAAGCACCTCAATAGTGTTTCAGGATGGTAGCTGTCGAACAGTCAGGTGTAGAGGAATAGGAGGAGAATAGCACAAACATCACAGTCATGGTATTGACTTCAGTTGGTTTTAATCCCATTTGACTACTGATAACCCAGTGGTCTAGGTTGTCTAGAACCACCTGATCATGTCACTTTGGTATCTTGGCGCGCGTCATCCATTTTTCTAGCAATTCTCAAAGTGTGGCTAACTGTTCATGAGGGCAAGGAAAAATAATTATGTATTATGTGTACTGTACCTGTGAGAGCTGCTTAATGACAGTTATTTATTCTGTGTGCTTATGGAATGTATTCTGGTCTTTTTTTTCCATGTGTCTGTTTGCAGGTGCTGTTCTGGTCTTCCTACCTGGGTTAGCTGAGATAAAGCAACTGTATGAGCAGCTGCAGTCCAACAGAATGTTCAACAATAGAACAGCTAAGAGGTACAAATAAGCTTATAATGGTATCAATACAGATGATTCTGTTGTTTGGTTTCTGAAAAATATTGTGTAATTGTTACAGGTGTGTGGTGTATCCACTCCACTCCTCGCTGTCCAATGAGGAGCAGCAGGCAGTGTTTACACGTCCACCAGAGGGCATCACCAAAATCATCATCTCCACTAACATTGCAGAGACATCAGTAACCATCGATGACGTAGTTTATGTCATTGACTCTGGCAGAATGAAAGAGAAAAGGTTAGAGGCTGTCCTCACCTCCCACACTTGCTTTAACTCATCATGTAATTAGAAGGGCCTTCATGGGTTGAATTCAGTGTCTAAAAAGGAAAGAATTAAATTTCACAAAAGGGAAATGCTAATACCTGCAGGGCTGTGGCCTAGGCGCCAATTATGGCACTGTAAGAAATGGTATCTTGGCAAATGAAATCATTTTAAATCTAGTCAATATATCTAATATTTCTCATGTCGAGATTGTTGTGAGCTTATTATATGATTATTTAAGTTTAATTTCTAGACTTTTGCCCTTGTTTTAAGTAAGTTTAAGTAATTATTAGTAAAGTTAAATTTTGTTTAAAGTAAGTTTAAGTAATTATTAATAAAGTTGTTCCACTACATTGTCAGATTTCTATAAATATATATACTATGAACATATACTATGCAACACAGTACAGTTATATTATAGAAAATGGCAGATTCAAGTCATCTCAGGCAATCTGAAAACGTGTAGTTTTCTGCATGTTACATATTTGACTTGCAGGTTTATTTCTCTCGTTTGGCTGTAGCTTGAGCTGTTGGTCTTCTACAGTGGGCAAAACACTGGAACAGCATGACTTAATTTTGTGTTTTTGTTGTGTTCAGAATTATAATTTTGTTTTCATTTGTAAATGACGCTATCATTTCAATTAATTCTGAGCTTATTTTTCATGAACACGGGGCTAGTGTAATTAATTTCCCCATTTTTCTGCTGTATGATCTGCTTTTACAAGAGATGACAGTAATACAAAGTTACCATGTTTTGTCCTTTGTTATCTGTAGATTTTTCTGGTAGTTTATAAATACTTAAAAATTACAAAAATTACAAGAAGAATATATACTTCATGTGTTGTAACCCTCCAGGACTTGAGATTGACACCGCTGGTTTAGCATTTTCTGCTGACTGATTTAAATTGCATGTATGCAGGTATGATGCCAGCCGCAGTATGGAGAGTTTGGAAGACGTGTGGGTGTCTCGCGCTAACGCTCTGCAGAGGAAAGGGCGAGCAGGCCGCGTGGCATCTGGAGTCTGTTTCCATCTATTCACCAGCCACCGCTTCATCCACCATCTCAGCCAGCAGCAACTCCCTGAGATTCAGAGAGTGCCTCTGGAGCAGCTGTGCCTCAGGTGTGCAGTGTACAGTGTGCAGGGCTATGCAACACAGTACAGTTACAGTCACACACTGAGGTCCTCTTAAGCTGTAATGCTGGGTTCTTGTGGTTATTGTGTGTGTATTTTAACCCCTCTGCTCCTCTGTCTCAGGATAAAAGTGTTGGAGATGTTCTCCGAGCGTCCCCTGGACTCTGTGTTCTCTCGTCTCATAGAGCCTCCAGCAGGGGGCAGTCTGGAGGCTGCCAAGCAGAGGCTGTGTGCTCTCGGGGCTCTGACGGAAGCCGAATGTCTGACTCCACTAGGCTGGCATCTGGCCTGTCTCCCTGTGGACGTTCGCATTGGAAAGCTGATGCTGCTGGGAGCCATTTTCCGCTGCTTGGACCCAGCACTCACAATCGCTGCCAGCCTGGCCTTCAAGAGCCCTTTCGTAAGACAGCAGAATGCTAAGAGAATTGTGCTTCAAAAAAACTGTTTGACCAAAAATCTAATTTATACAGTTTTCCCCCTTCACCTCAAATGTACTCAATCAGCTAAGGCATGTTGAGTTTCACACTAGAGCTACAAGGCTAATGTTGCTGATAAATAATAGAAGTTTATAATCATTGACTAAATTTGGGGAACAGGAAAATTGTGTAAATGTAATTTTTGCTGAAACTATGACTTTAAGACACTTTCTAGTATTACAGTAGTCCATTAGTCCATGTTATCTCTCTCAGTCTGCATCTTTCTGTCTCTATCACTCTCTCAGGTCTCTCCATGGGATAAACGAGAGGAGGCTAATGAGAGGAAATTAAGTTTTTCTCTTGCCAACAGTGACCATCTCGCTCTACTGCAGGCATACAAGGTTACTATGTTCTCTAATGAGCATTTAGGTAACAATAAAATAGTGGCTGTACATGTAGTAATGTGTGTATGTGTGTCACAGGGCTGGTGTAGTGCAGAACAGAATGGCTCCAAGGCTGGCTATCGGTACTGCAGAGAGAACTTTCTGTCTATACGAGGCCTACAGGTGAGCCTCGCAACAAGCTAGCACAGTTGATTTAAAAAAAAGACAATATCTTACATTTTTCTTGTATTTTATTTTTTTTCCCTGAGGTCCACTTATGACATTTAACATTGTATGTTAAATTCTGTGCAGCTGTAATTCATTTTACATGACCCTTTTCTAACATTTCCTTATCCTTTAGAATTAAACAGGCTGTTTTTATGACTGATGTATGTAAGTGAGCTCTTTTTTGATTGGCTACCCTATTGCGACTCATTCAAAAAGAAGTCTGTGCTGGGCTGAAACGCTCTTTATAACATTAGCGTGAATGGGGCTAATCGGCTGTAGGCAGAAGAGTCGAACATGTTGGTTTTCACGACATCGCATATATATATTGTATGGCATGGGGATTAAACGTCTTCAATTTTTGGCAATGTTGGAATTAATGTGGAAACGTAGGTTTTCTGTGACATGCTCTTTAATTTTATTTGTTATATCAATAGACCTCCTATTACATGTCTGAAATTTGTCTCTTCTAGGAGATAGCATGTCTCAAAAGACAGTTTGCAGAGCTCCTGTCTGATATTGGCTTTGTAAAGGATGGGTTGAAGGCCAGAGACATAGAGAGAAAGAGCTCCAAAGGAACTGATGGAGTGTTGGAAGTCACAGGCTATGAGGTAATACTCAGTGAATACAGTGATATGCTGGTTGCTGTATTATCTGACACACCTTTGTTATGTATTAATTAATTAATTAATTATTGTTTTTGGAAAAAGAAAGCACTGTTTGTGTGATACAAGTTACTCAAGGACTTATATAGTGGCAGAGGCAGTTCTTGACCAGTGCTGATAGTCATATGGAAACATGCACCCAAAACAACTGTTTGCAGCATCTTTAACACATTGCTGGTGCCTGTTTCTCCCTTTAAGGCAAACCTGAATGCTGATAACACAAAGCTGATGTCAGCCATGCTGTGTGCTGCCCTCTATCCCAATGTAGTCCAGGTCAGTGTTTTTACCTCCAACCTTTACTATTAATGCCCTTTACTCTAAATGTGATCATGATCATTCTTTGTGTCTCGGTAGGTGCGAGCTCCACAAGGGAAAGTTTAAGCAGACGAGCAAAGGGGCGGTTAAGATGCAGCCTAAAGCAGAGGAGCTTCGCTTTGTGACTAAAAATGATGGAGCAGTTCATATACACCCCTCATCTGTCAACTTTACGGTAACAAAGCGTGCAAGATTTTTGATCCAAACCGTTCTCTAGATGCTTATTTATAAAAACAATAAAGATGTATTTGAGGGTGATTCATTTAAGCAAGTAGTTTGGCTTCATTTGCTCTGTTATTCTGTGCAGGTGCGTCACTATGACAGTCCGTACCTGGTCTATCATGAGAAGGTGAAGACCAGCAGGGTGTTTATCCGCGATTGCAGTATGGTATGCGTGTATCCTATGGTGCTGTTTGGTGGGGGGCAGGTGAACGTGGAGCTGCAGCGTGGGGAGTTCATCATCTCTCTGGATGACGGCTGGATTCGATTCGCCGCCGCCTCACATCAGGTAATCTAGCATTTTTGTGCGACAGTGCTCTAAATTAGTTTCAACTACAGTAAAATAAAGAGAGAACACTGAAATACGCTACCGTTCAAAAGTTTGAAATATGAAACCAATATACTGCTGTGTGTAATTTTCACAGGTTTGAAATGAATTGAAGTAGCAGATAGATTTTTTTTTTTTTTAGATGTGCCCAGAATGATGAACTGAGCTGTAGAATAATCTAAATGAAAGCTGTATAGTATCAGGAATGAAGTTCTAACAAAATTAATAAATGAACCAGGCACTTACCAGGTGCACAGACAATAGACTTAGGCTTATCACTAACTTTAGGCTTAAGTAAACCGAAGACCCCCATATTCACACATGGGAAGTCTATTTCCATCAATGACTCATTCAAATTTCCTGGCACTAACATTTGTGATAACCTTAATTGGAACATTAACACAGACAACACAGTCCAAAAATCTCATCAAAGACTACTCCTCCTCTAACAACTCAACAGGAAACATTTACTGCTCCGTTTCTGTTCAGTGATAGGCAGTGTCACCACTTCTATAGCAGTGTGGGACAATAGCATGGACAGTCACTCCTGAGGTAAACTACATCACATTGTCAGTAAATGATCCAAGATCGGAGGTGCTGTATTTTTCAGCTTTTACTCTCTAGGAGGCGCTGTGTTGCCTGTCTTCCCATGTACTAGCACAATATTTGTTTGACTAGGTTATCTATGTCAGTACTTGCTGTGGGTATGTTATGTGAGTAATGTGCATTGTGAAGTAGGTCTGTATTATATTTGTTACGCTTGTAAAGAGCTTTGAGAATTTATTTTGGCTGTGTAGTCATTCAAGAGTCAGAGTCTGATAACTAGAATGCCTGGTATTTCAAAAGTGGTGACCAAACCTTGAAACAGAAAACAAAAAAATTATTGTAAATAGCAGTACATTAATTGTGTAACATATTCCCAAAACACTTTAAATATTGAATAAAATGTCTGAAAATAACTAGTATCTAGTGCATAATATTTAAATATACTATGTGTACAGTCATGTGAAGAAGTAAGTACACCCAATGAAATGTTTTGGGTTTTTTGACATATGTGGGCATATCAGTATTTGATCATCAGCTGAACAGTATGTATAAAAAAGTGTTATGTAATAGAACAAAAAACAAAATCATTTATTTAAAAATAACTGAGATCTTTTTTCTATTGAAAAAGTAAGTACACCCCTGGCTTCAGCAACTGGCATTGCCCCTTATGACAGAAACAACTTTATGTAGGTGTTTCCTATAAATGTCTACCAGTTTCTGACATATACTGGAAGAAATTTTTGCTCACTCCTTCATGCAGAATTATTTCAACTGTGCAATGTTTGAGGGACTTCTTACTAATTGCATAGCATAATATTTCCATCAACATTCATTACAGTTAGTATGAGGTTCTTCTGATCAAATGCTGTCTTTGGTTTTCACCAAACATGGCTTCTAGTACTGTGACCAGACATCTCTCTTTGATTCGCCTATTATAGGACATTGTTTCAGAAGTGCTGGTACTTGACTAGACATTGATTACTAAACTTTAGTCTTGCCCCAATGTTTTTTTTTTTAGATCTCCCATGTAGGTGAAATTTGTACAGTCTTATTGTTATGGTAGATGCATGCACAGATTTGACATCCACAGTAGCAAGAGCTACCTGCAAATACTGTGATGAAATGTTGTACTTCTTTTAGCATCTTAGTCTGTTCTTGGGTTAAATTTGTTGGGACGGCCTGGCCTGCATAAGTTGGCAGTGGTTGTAAATCTTCTCTACTTGTGAATCATGTTCCAGACAGTAGAAGGATTGATTTCTAATATGTTGGAAACACTTCTCAAACCTCTTTCCCAAACTTATAGGCATCTACAACCTTCTTTTTTAAGGCCTCAGATAGTTCTTCTGATCTTGGCATAATACTCTAAACTCTGGGAAAAAAAGTGTAAACCAGACAAGATACCTGAGAGGTTGAATAAGACAAGTTCTTCCAAGATATTCTCTAAAGGTGTTGTATTCATTAGTACTTCATCAGGTGCACCTGATTTCAACTGGATTTTCAACACGTTAGAAGTCAACATTGTGTAAATGAAGACCTGATATTTGTGTCCCCAAATATGCTGAAAAAGTCTCAACTTTTCATGCCATATACATACTTCACATGATTGTGTATATATTCATCTTAAAATTATTAATAGACAAACAGAGATCAAACTCTTGAATAGAAGTGTATAATTTATCTAGTCTCTGTCATATTTAAGTACTTTGTGTGCGTGCAGGTGGCTGAGCTAGTGAAGGAGCTGCGTTGGGAACTGGATCAGCTTCTAGAGGAGAAGATCAAAAACCCCAGCATGGACCTGATCACCTGCCCACGAGGCTCCCGCATCATCCAAACCATTGTGTCTCTTATCTCAACCCAGTGAGATACACACACTCATCATACTCACTTAAAATGTCACTTCTCTCATTCACACCTGCTGCATGCATAATCATATATCCTCAGTCATATCCAACACATCCAGCCTTTTCTACAACGCAACGGTTTCAAGACATAACATGAATTGTGTCACTATGCAAACACCGCTCTCACACTCAGATATTTGAATGATTTCATAATACTTGAATAAGATAAACCACAGAGCAATTCAGATCAGTCTTCTTAGTTAGTAATAGGATTTATTTGAATTGTCTTTGTGATGTCACGTTTGTTTCTTCCACAGAAGAAAGAATAGAAAATACAGTTTCACCACTTGAGTGATTTACATTTATACTGTAAATTGGGACTGAGTCCATATTGGATTCTGTGAGGGAGAAACAGTTTGCCTTATTTTGTTCTGCAGTGTTACATTGAGGAGCACTTACAAGTGAAAGCATGTGCATGACATATCGAGTGTAAAGCATGAAGAATGTTTTATTTTTTTCATTTGTTTGTTTAACGACTGACTATTTATGTGAAGAATGAATGATCGTCATAAACGCAAATGATATGAACTCATGTATATTTTGCCAAAGGACATTTGGAATGTCTTGATGGGAGCTGCATAACAAGAATAAAACACAAGCCCAAGAATGGTTTGTTATACAAATGTAACTTCTGATCGATTTTATTTGATGAAAGCAGAAAAGTGACAGTATACATGTTGATTGACTAATTTCCCTTAGAGCAAAATCAACAGTTTGTTAATTATGAGTTGAGTTAACAAGGCATGTGGCTGCTTTGGAACTCTACAGAAATTAGAGCTTTAGTTAAAATGTGATTTTGCTAATTAAACATCTGACTGGAATGTTCTATAGATAAAAGAAAAAAATCAGCACACATTAATGGCACACATTTTACCAGAGGTGAAAGGAAGCTGTGGCCTTTACTTGTCAAGCTTGACATACTAATCTGTAGTGAAAAAAATAACAGTTTTAATGCCTCAGGCTACTGAGAAAGTGAAGCGTGTAGTGTGCATGTACTCTTCTCCTGGTCTCAGCAGAGCTTCAGGAAACTGGGGCTGTGGAGAGAATAGTACAGTGACATTCATTCACATGTTTAAACTCTCTCCCTGTCTCTGGTTTTCTAATATTCCTTGAAAGCACACATGTATAGAATCTACTAAGAAATATAGTGATTTTGCCTTTTTTATCATTACCTGATTGACAGCATCTGGCCAGTTCTGGGTCTCTAGACAAAAAGCGCTGTGTTTAGGGTATGATGTGCCTCCTTTCCCTCCCAGTGATCCATCCAGAAAGTTGGAAGTGTAGAACTGAACACCAGGCTGGGTGGTACTCACCTCCAGGACACGCCCCGTCCCAGGATGCACCACTCTATAGCAAGAGTGAAAGTCATTTGTCAGATAATAGGGAGAATAAAGGATATGCCATAAGAACCATATAGAAGCTGGTTCCTTGGATGGAAAAGCTGGATAATTTACACCCTGAAAGGGTGTATGGCCCTTACCTTGCACACTTCCTCTCCAATTTTGGTTGTCCTGGAACCCAGAAGCAGAAGTTATGATCAAATCCAGGACCAGGAAGTTCCTTCAGTCGAGGCCCAAGAAGGACAGGCTTACGGAGGTCAAAGAGAGAATTCTCTACAGGTCTAATCTCTCCTGTAAAGATAAATTTGTGGTTTTCACAACCCATGCCTCACCGAAACATCTCTCAGGCTTAAAGAGCTGTAAGAAAACAGATTTTAAAATTTAAAGTGTAAACTATACACTTGTTTTTTTTTAAACCCCACCTACTAGTTAGGTCTCCCTCTTCACAAGTTGCTACCAAGCTCAGAGGGTAAAGGCTAACGTGCTTCCTCCAAGACGTGATGTACCACCACATTTTTTCGAAATGTCACTAATGCAACCCTACTCGACAGCCCTATGTGCTTGGAGGACAGCGCTAACTGTCAGTTCTGTTACATCAGCTAAGAGACACCCACTTTGGCCAGCACTGTGCAAAGTAATGGCAGGGGGCGCCAGCCATCCTACTTACCCAGAGAAAGTGAGATCAAATTGCAGTGTATCAAACTTTCCCTCTGTGATACAGCCAACACTTAGACTTGTGACACTCGGGAGCTACACTTTTAAGACTTTGTCCTAAGGCTTTATACTCATGGATATATGTGTTACATTTTCCTCATAATTTTTTTCATTCTGCTTTGCGTATGAAAAAATATCAATGCTCTTCCTCACTGTAAGCAACAAAACACTTTTCTTCAATAGATAGATAGATAGATAGATAGATAGATAGACTACCATTGCAAGGGAAGTGTGCCTGAGACTGAGAGTAACACTGAAAGTATCCTGATTTAAATAATAATACTAATAAGCTACCAGTGGGGATCATGGTGTCATCCACAGGTAGGTAGGCCTCAGCTGAGACGGTCACCTCATGGTCATAAATGTCTGGTGTGCCCTGCAGAGAGTTGAAGGAGAAGCAGCATTGATGGGTTTTCTATGTGTTGGCATCTCTTTTTTAAATGAGAATATTATCTGTTAGCAACTACTTTAGAACTGTATAGTATAGTATAAAAATATCTGAACACAGATATAAGTGACACAGTTACTTCTGTTTTGACTCAATAGATCAGTACATCTGATGTCAAATTAAACAATGATTATGAGAATCAAGTGCAGAATTATGGCTTTAAATTAAGGATGCTGAAGTAGAGAGATAAAACATATGTGTCACAGTCCAGTTACTGACAGGCTGCATTATACTGTAGTTTTGTTTCAGAGTTATAAGTGTTTCTGTATTCATGAGCGTTTGATCTCACCTTTTACACCACTTCATAGTTCTGTGTAAATGTGAGTGTTCAGTCTCACCTGTCCAGCCAGATTGAAGTATGAGTGATTGGTCAGGTTGACTGGTGTGGTTTGGTCAGTCTGGGCGAAGTACTGCACGGTCAGGGTGTTTTCCTCCAGTGTATATGTAACAGAAACCTTTAGGTTGCCAGGGTAACCTTCATCCCCATCAGGACTGGTGTGGCTCAGTCTGACTCCATTATCCACAGCCTCACAGGTCCACACATACTAAATGATCATAAAGACATTTACTTAAACTTCCATTTGCCAAAAAAATAAAAAATAAAAAGGTTTTATAAAATGTTTATTTTGTTACTCATTCAGGGTTTTTTTTTAAATCTTACTCCTACAGTGTAGCATAAGTATGAATTGTGGTTATTCTGGACTATTCGGATATCGTTGCTGATGGACAAGTAAACCACTGGTGATGTGTGAAACGCAATAATCGCCATTTTGGTAAAAGAACTAGAGAGGACTAATTTACTGTTAAACAGCTTGCAAAATAAGTTGGGAAACTGGGCTTCACATTTAAGAGACACACAGAGACGGAGAGAGAGGGTGAGAGGTTTGACAAGAAAGTGCCTGTGTTATCTCTCTGCTACGCATTGTAATGCTTGATTTACACGGATTACCCTTAATTTAATTTACATGAATGGAATTGAAAATGAATGCCAACATGCTTTGGAACTCGCCTCAAAGTGATTCACTGCAGTAAAAAAACAAGCTGAAATGACTGAAAGTTAGCGTAGAGCATCTAAGTTAACTATAACCTGGAGAGAAAGTTCCTCTGATCCTCGTCTATGGCCAGTCGGGCGATAATATCGATAATCACAATTTTTAGAAAATATTAGAAAATATTGTGCTAACTATTTTTAGATATCACCCAGGCCTACTCCGGACACCGTGATGCTAATACTTTGCAGTCACAAATATGCACAGGGAAATGGCAGAATGTGAGTGGCAAAGAGGCAATTATTGTACACACCTCACATAGTATTTACAATACTGATCACAAACAAAAATATGCATAAATATATACCCAATATGTATAGCTATTGTGCACAGTTTGTTATAGAGCAACCCTCATTCTGGAGATCTACTTTCCTGCAGTGTTTAGTTCCAATGTGCATCTAACATGCTGCACCCATACCTAACCCACTGCACCTGATCCAGCCAATCAAGGACCTCTGAAGGAGTTAAGTAGCGGCGTTAAGTGTGGTTGGATCAAACTACAGTCCACAGGATGTTAGATCTCCAGGACCAGGGTGGGTGACCCCAGATATAGAGAGAAGTATTTTGTGTAGATACACAGTAAGAACAAAGCTTCAATGCTTATTTAATGTTTAAGTGAGATTTTCAGCGATGCAGCATCACACAGAGGTAGTGACAAAGTATTAGAGAAGATATTCCAAGTTTCACAAGTAGATGAGGGCTTTAGACAAGATTTACAGATTAATGCAACTAAAGCTGTGAGCTGTATAAAACTATATGAATAATTAAAACAAGATCAGTGTTCCAGAAAAATGTGCTTGTTATGTTACCTGGTCATATTTTCACCGCAAACATACATGTTTACTGACCTTGTCAAAGCCTTTGAGGCCACCGATGCAGGGCATTGGGTCCATTATTGATGGCCAGTTTGTACACCTTTCCCTCAATAACAAACTGGCCCTTAGCAATACGGTTAGCAACACGTCCCACCACAGCTCCAAAGTAGCGAGGATTGGTGAGATAACCTGTGAATTCATATGTTCAGAATCACTCAAACCTTATTATGATTTTTATAGTCTGCAGTGTCATTTTTATTTTTAGAGCAAGTTTACGCTCACACACACACACACACAATGACTGATTGAGAAGACATGCTGCCTATGGTTCAAGCATACAAGCTTTAAAATGTACAGTCATTATCAGAATTACAGGGGTGACAGATTAAGCTTGACCAGGACTGTGACTGAGGGCAGTTTAAACTTTTAAAATTTTTAAATTTTAAAGTGCTGAATTAGCATCCTTGCTGAAAAAATTACCATTAGGAACATTAGGATTAAAACCTGATGGGTTAATGGGAAATGGCTTAATGGTTATCACCAGAGACCACCAGTGTCCACTAGAACACCTTTAGGTCCCACTAGAAAACAATCAAATGCTTCTGGAATCCTTTCAACTGTGAAATCAACCCATCAGGAAAACAAATACCTTTGACTGTTGGACACCACCAATGAACCAACAAAAACTGTGGTTTCTGTGATTTGTTTAGCAGGGATCATTTGCTTATGAATCCGTTTTATGTTCCATTTAACTTACTGTGATTTAAACTAAGATTATAACGCCTAAAACGCAGGAGAAGGTCCACATATTCACGAGTGCAGGAGCACAAACAGATGTGAAAAGTCACAATGTGCAAAATCGAAGGGCTTCCAAGTTACTTTCAGCGACCCACCAAGACACTGACTGAGTGAACAAGCTGAGGACAACTTACTTTCCAGATCGTCGAAGCCTAACACTACATCCGCAGTGTGTCCATTCCGGTCTAGTGTTTTGATGGAGGTTATGACAGCACCTAAAGAGACTATTTCTACACTGACACTTTGGGATCGTAGTGTCCACTTCTCCACAGAGAGCTGAGCGGACTCCAAAGTGAGCGCCTCTTTATTCACCTCACACATGTCGGCTGGAGCTCCGCGGTGAGCGAACAACAAAAAACAACAAACAAACCGTTTTCAGCGATCAGTCAGACATTTCCCTCCTCAGCGGAGCTGACACTCCGCACACACCAGACTTTGAACATGTGACGAAACTGCCGTCATCAGCACGCGACAGCGTGATGACTTTTGAAATATATGTGGCGCTCCGTGCCAGAAGTTCTCTGTCTGAGCCCCGCGTGACAGCGCGAATTCAAAAAAAGTGAGAGGAACGAATAAGATTCGTGCCGCGCCGCTCGTGAGGGACAGGAGCCAATCAACTGTAACTGTTCTGAATAATTACCACGACGGGGCGTGTCATCCAGCGTTTGTTTTCATTGGCGTGGCATCATCGTTGTGGGCGTGGCCATCATTTAAAATCTGATTTTATGCATGGTTTACAGTGTGTGTGTGGGTGTGGGTGTGTGTGTGTGTGGGTGGGTGGGTGTGTGGGTGGGAGTGAGTGTGAGTGTGGGTGTGGGGGTGTGTGTGTGTGTGTGTGTGAGAGAGAGAGAGAGAGAGTGAGTGAGTGAGTGTGTGTGTGTTTGTGTGTGTGTGTGTGTGAGAGAGTGAGTGTGTGGGTGGGTGTGGGTGGGTGTGGGTGTGGGAGTGAGTGTGAGTGTGGGTGTGGGTGTGGGTGTGAGTGTGTGTGTGATCAGTAAAAAAGGTATGATCCCCCTTTAAGAGCTAACTTGTCAAGACCACTACATTATCAATGTATTTAGGCTATTCATTTTCAAAACAGGCCCAATTATATGGACTGAAAGTTTTCTATAATATTAAGGAGGCTGCCACCAGCTCCGGTTTTGGAAAAGGAGCTTTAGGGGAGCGGTATGCAGGCCCGCCCCGTCCGCCAGAGGGACGTTAAATGTTGTGGTTTATGTTGTTAATATTGTTGTTCCTTGGTTTAAGCGTGTGTGTATGTCTTTATTGAGTCATTTTGTATCGTGCAGTGGGATTAGTTAGAGTGGGTTGGCAACTAGCATAAAATGAAGAGTTATGGCTAGTAGTGACCTTGCCTGCTATCAGGATGTGTGTGACGTGGTTATTGCGTTGGTATAGGTGTATAAAGCTTTTATTGAGAGAATATGGGATAGTGTTCAGTCTTGTTTCATGAGCAAGATGCTGTTGTTTTTAAGTTTATGTATTTGTTTAGTTATTATAATTAATTTAACAATTAAGTGTTCTTGTACACTGTAGTTTTTCATCTTTTTCAGCCAACCAGTGATGCTATACACATGGTTTTCACAGGGACACTTAACTGCATGTGACTGAACAAAAGAATGAAATAGAGAAAGAAACGACCCTACGCTGCATTAAGGTAGTGTGCACTCAGAAGAACCTCTGCTGAGGCACAGAGAATACGAGAGTAGAACATGCTTGCCACTAAGGCTGAGAAAAGAGAGAGAGAGAGAGAGAGAGAGAGAGAGAGATGTATCTCCTCTCTGTGGTGGTGGTTATCTGTGTGGTGATGTGTGCTTATGGTCCCATAAATTTGATTTAATTATTACCTTGTGTCAACTTTTCATCTTAACCCAGCTATTCAAAATAAATGATTAAACTGAACAGATAAGACTAATGGGGTCTTTTTATTTTTAATGCTTTGCTTTGATGACATTTCAAAATTTCATGCAGAATCTAGGTCTGAAGTCAGATTATGCCCTTTAATGTCTGCCATTATTGTGCCATTGTGCTATGTTTTCATGAACACAGATAATGCATTGATAGTGTTATTTAGCATTACACATCAGTCATTAGTAATAATTTTGGTATTACTGACAGTGTTTGTGTCCATAATATGCAACTGACCTGTTTTCAAACTGGACTAATAAAACATACAAAACAGAAAAGAAGGACATGAGAACATGTGCATTTGTAAACTTTATCTGTATTAGTTGTCTCATTTTAATGTACTATGCTTAAACATGTTTGGATGTGCAGCAACTGAGGAGTTTGACCTGCTAGCAGATAAACAGCGTGAGTGTGGATGTATGAAGTAGGCCTGTCGAGTAAGAGGAGGCCCAGATTGCAGTGCCTCTGAGGATTCTTCTTTTAGCTTCTATCTAACCTATTTTCTTAGTGGGTTCAGTCTCTCAGTGTGCTTGGCTGTAGTACTTGGGTCAAAGCCTGTTTCCTTACATTAATTGTTAAGTACAGTTTAAAATTGTACTCTTTGCCAGTTCAGCTGCATAAACCGGTTTATGGTACATTACGTGTCCAAAAATGTGTAGACATTTGAAATCAAGGGTGTTAATAAAGAGTTTGTCCCCCCTTTGCTGCAGTGACAACCTCTATTCTTCATTGAGGGCTTTACATTAGATGCTGGAACATTGCTGTGAGAATTTGATTGCATTCAGTCACAAGCGCATTAGCGAGGTGAGGTACTGATGTTGGATTATTAGTTCTGCATCACAATCGATGCTGCAAATCATCCCAGAAGTTTTGCATGGTACTCCTTCACTTCAGAGAACTCAGTACTGCTGCTCCACAGTCCAGTGCTGAGGGTTTTTAGACGCTTGGCACTGGGTGTAGTGACCTTATGTTCATGTGTATTCCATTGCCAATGCTTTTCTGTGGAAATTGTACAAGCTGTGTATGCACAGCTGAACACCTGTGCCAGTGCGGGTGCACCTTAAAGGGGAATTCCACAGATTTCTCAAAGTTTGGAGGATTAAACCATTAAGATGTGAGGTTTGATGTGAATTGCTCCACTTTAGAGAAACCAACTCAGAATTGTTCACAGCAGTGGTGAAAGGAAACAGATGTCTGAAGTGTTTAATGTCTCCAAAACTACCTCACAGAAAGCTATTACATGAAACAGTTACAAATACACTTCCTGATGCCTGAGACATTGTTTTATTATAGTATACTATGGAGAGGTACATGGAGGACATTGTAAGGCAAAATAGAACCCAAAGAAAACAGATTTTTCAGACATATTACTATTTTACCATCATTAACATTACAAATAAAACCCCAGAAGACATGTGTCGGTACAAACATCAAACCACTTTGAATGACTTTACATAATTGGAAGGAGTGTCTAGATCACGGCTGCTCACTTTCTGCTGGTTCCTGGTGGTGTCCAGTAGTCAGTCATGGTGTTTTGGGTTTTCCTGATGGGTTGATATCAGAGTGTAAAGGGCTATAATGGTTTAAACTGTGTTCTGGGACTGATTCCAGGTGCATTCCATGGTTTCCTAATGTGATCTAAAGGAAAATAGTGGCCTCTAATGGAAACCACTAAGCCAATTCCCATTATAAAGCAAAACCATCAGGTTTCAATTCTAATGGTTCTAGTGGTCTTTTTTCAGCAGGCGTGGGTTTTATGTTATGACTGATTGGTGTATAACGTTAAAAAACTAAACGTGAAACCTACCTACCTTCTTTATTTGTATACTGATTTTTGGACCTAGAGCCACCACAAATATGTGCACCCCTGGGCTACATACCTTTGGACAGTGTATGTTTTGTGAGAAGTGCAGTTATGAGGCAGGCTGAGTGTGATGGGCGGGCACTAAGACCCAGCATCCCGCCTCCTCTCTGCTGCTTTGATAAAGTGAAGACGGAGCGGTGGATACTTTAACCGAACAAGATGGCGGAGCGCGGCGGACTGAGAAATCGGAATTTCTCGAGGACAAATCATATAGGTCACAAATCTGACGAAGGTAAGAACCAAAAGGGAAAAGGAAATACATATTTTTTTTTGTTTAACGCAGTGTTGTCTGCTTTGTGAGAGCCGTGTAAACTGGAGCGTTAGGAGTGAAAGTGTGTGAATAGTTGTGTGATAAAGTTTTCACTCCGTCTCTTCATGTCTGTCCGGGCAGTTGTAACGTTTCCTGATGGGTCTCTGGGTCCGAGCACTTTTCTTGCCCTGTTGTGACAAAGCGAAACCTTCCAGCAGCTGTCGTTGCTTTGACCGCTTCGCCTCTAAAGAAGGTCTCCCGGAGGGAAACTCGGACACACACACTGCCTGAAGCGGGTCTACCTGCTCTTATTTACTCCGGCTGTTCAGCTAACGGTGTTCGTGTCGTCTACGCGTGGCTAGTAAAATAGCAGCGTTTGCTGGCCTGTTTATTTTGAGTTTGCTATTCTTGGCTGGCTAGTTTGCAGTCGAGGCAAACTTTTGAGTGAGCCCGGGCCACTTGTGCCGCCTGTAACTGTGTTTTTTTTCGTAGTGCACGACAAAACCAGTTTATAAGGCGATGGCGCGGAGTAAACCACTTAGAACTTTTCAGAACAGATTTTGTGTTAAGACAGTTTCGTAATAGGCTTAAATTGTGTAAATGTGATGTGAGCCCGCTGACTAACATGCGTACTCAGTAACTGAGCCGTTGGGGTGTGTGTGTGTGTGTGTGAGCACAGAGGGAATTTGGGGCAGTAACCGCATGTGGACAAGCTGAACCTGCAGCTCCACTCTCACTGAGAGGCGGGTTTGATTTCGTTAGGTAACATTAACCTTTGGTTTTAATAACGTTTGGTTAGCTAGCTTGTCATATGTTAATATAGCATTTTCTCCGACGAACAGAGTCTGACAGTAATGTTTCTCCTGCCGTACCGCATATTTATAGTTAGCGCTATACATAAAACTGTAGGTAGGATATTTTGGTAGCCTAAATGACCGCGGCAGAAAATGCTGCCAGCATTGAAATGTCCAGGCAGGACCATTTGATGGCCAAAAATTTGTATCAGAAAGCGTTAAATTAAAAGAATAATTAGAATATTTTGATGGCCAAAATCACCTTATCAGGAGGTAAGCAGTAATATCAAGTTTAGTGTCTTTTAAATAGACATTTAAAAACACAATGTAACGTTTGATACATTAGGTTGCTACACTGTACTAATGATTTGCGCATGCTCAATAGGACAGGGTGTTAGAACACTTGGATTGTGTGGGTTTTTATATATATATATATATATATATATATTTTAGGACAGTTTGTCTTTGTGTTTTACTAAGCTTGAGTCTAGTGACCGCCACAGATGTGATAAAGGGTGATTCCTCAAGTTCGGTCTGGTTGTTAAAGTCCCTCTGTGATGATTTTAAACTACTCGGTTAACCCATTCATGCCCAACAACTAAATTTGGTATGAAAAGGGGAGAATGCCTCTGTTCAGGGCCCAGTTTCCCAAAAGAGTCTTGTTAAGCACAAATTCCATACGTTTATTTCAGGTTTCTTTCGTTTCGTTGAAA